CCTGCCACCTTGGCTGAAGTTCGTCGGGAAGACTGCGTGGGGGTGAGGACGAACGTAGGTGGTTCTCCCTGAGGAGACTAAGATTGTACCTTGCATCACTGTATATAAATACCAAGTTAAGTACCTAATGTATCTCTAGTCCCTTCAGCTCGTCCCTCTATTCTTGGTTTATGCCTCCACGTAGCAAGGTGCCTCCTAACGTGGTACGTACACCACAGCCTAAGAGACGCCGGTGGGGGGGGGGCGACCTCCTAGGTAGTCGCGAGGTGCGGGGTTCGTACCCGGGAAAATGAGCAGCCACGATTAGTACGCGTTCAGAAACAGGAGGGACTTCCTTAATAGGTACATGCCCGCCCGCGTCAGGGTACGCTGGGTACCTGGGTACATGCCGACAGCTGCTGATGTTATTATACATGTGCGCGGTAGGTAGAACATGTACTGCGTACATACTCCAACCCGTGCCTGTAGCATGGCCCGGCAAGGGATCAGAGCGCATTTACCCTGTCCCTTTCATAGGTTTGGACTTTGCAGGTAACCATCGACGTTGACGCTCTGGTTTCGTCTTCCGGACGGAGCCCACGCAACTGGATCACCGTTCCAACACACATATCACATACATACACCTGTACGCACATGAGAAGGAAAACCACCCCCAAAATCACGGGACGGTTAGTAGTCGCTACTCTTATATCAAACTCTATCCAGGGCTATATACGTGCACGTCGTGCGTCAAGTAGCTGAGAGCCGAGGGACAAGAAGAGAGCCGTCTGGGCGAAGGCGTGGTTTGCGTCGGGGCGACAACAGGAATACAACATCGCTAATAGAGGTGACGTGACTTGCAGGGTACTACTCATAAGCCCTCCCACGGGATTGACGGGAACTGGGAACTGGGCTCGTCAGGCACGTACCAGAGATGGGTGCGTTTAGGTTGGCGAGCCCTTTCTCGACGTCGGAACTGTCGCTGGCCATTTTTAGCTTGCCGTACAACCCCCCCAACCCGGGACGGAGTCGAAGGGCCGTCTTACCTCTCTCGCTAGTCGCCGAGGCAGTCAGCCTGCGGACGGTCCCTCTCTTGCAAAACGCGTGGATATTTATTTCCGTACGGGGCTCGAGGCGGACAACTTGATTGCCTGGATAATGTGCGCCTTATGTGTGTACATGGTAGCTTAGCAATAGGTAGGCTCCCCAGGAGGTACCTCTGCCCTCTCGCCCGGGCGGAATGGGGTGCCAAGATACGAGGTCTAAGTAGAACTGATACATATAACCGTCTATGCGTCGCCGTGTATGCGGGTGGGGTTGCTTTCCTCGCTTTGCACGGCGTAGACATACGTAGGGAGCTAGTTGGGTCCGAGGCTAGCTGCTTGACTTTTTCACCCGCTACTATACCTCGTCATCCGTGCGTGCTTGAGAACAAGACCTCAAGCGTCATATGTGCCGTGCTATACCCAGCGTCGACTCCGTATCCTACTAGCTCTAAGTGTATGAGGAGGGACGGGTGTTATGTGGGCATCGGGAGGGGACTGGGACGTAGAGGTACGTCCATTCCCATTCGATCATGGAGGAACCCCCACCCCTCTCCCACATCCCCATCCTGTTCCCTGGGTTCTCAACCCGTCTCAAGCATTCCGGCCCTCCATCGTAGGGACTCCCCATTTCAGCCGCCTGACTCGATCCCTCACCTCGCCGATCTCATCTACCACCTCGATGCTTCCTTTCCCCAGTCGACTTTACCCGCCCAGTTGCAGATCCGTCCGCGCGTGCTCGGGGCGTCTCGGAGTAGGCTTGGGGAAGTGACCGTCTCGCTGGCTGCATACAGGTATTACTTATTGCAAGGTCTTATTGATTTGCTGTCTACCTATAAACACACGCCCGTCGATGTGACTGACTTCCGCCTACATAATTAATCTATCAAGATTGGACGTGACATACGGAGAGGGTAGGTGGTGTCAACGCCGGGCTACTGTAGGTTAACAACACAGGTCTTGTTAGCTGGGGTCGAAGAGAAAAGCGCGCGCAGACCACACGCAAAACCGCCTCGGGCATCGCTTCGTCGCCCACGCACCACCCGCTCCCCACCAGCGCTCCCATTCCACGCACCCCATCCACACCCAACCACACACACTCATATATACTGACATTCACACACACACAAAATGTGATGCACGCGCATGCAGGTATATGTACAGGTAAGCGTGTGCGCTACCTGCCGTTGGATGTGCGCTCGATAAGCCACGGCTAACCTCGAGGTTGCGACGACGTCGTCCCGTCGTCGATCTGCCATTGGTATGCTTCAAGTCCAACGTACGTCGGCTTCGCTCGTGGCCTTCGCTCGTGGCCTTCGCTCGTGGCCTTCGCACGTTGCCTCACCACTCTCGACGGGTTCTCGACGGTTTCGCGCGTGACTTCCACGCGATCTCGGGCCAAGTTCTGGTGCCGCGTCGCCCTTGTCTTGCCGCCGCCGGCCTGTGTTTTTCTTTCTTTTTTCTTCGTTTTTCACGCGCCACAGATTTTTCTTCAAACCCCCCCCCCCCTCCCCTTCACCCCCTAGTCGTCTCTTTCGCGGACGGGGCCACAAAATAATACCCCACCACCCCCCTCCTTTTCCCTCCCCAGTCAGATATATCCTGCCCTCGCATCGCCATGCAGCTCCAAAATATTTCCGCTTCCTCGTCCGCGATGGAACGTTAGGGTATGGACGTAGGGAGCCAGCTGCGAGACTTGGTTAGCCTAGGCAGGCAACCTAAGACGTCGAGTACCTACCTAATGCACATACAAAGGCGACGCTGCCTCGGCCCACGCGCTCGCGACCGCTCTCCCGCCCCAGTAGTAGCGGGCGCACTCCCCACCCTACCTCCCCTCCCGATTTTTTCGTACTCGTACCTATAAAAGCCCGCGTCTCACGAGTATGAGGTGGTCGGGAGGTGGAGTACCTATACCCAATACCTGCCCACAGCACGTAGATAAATTTCACGAAATATAGCCTGCACAGCGCGATCAAAAGTATCAGCAGTGGTATCCGTGTTACGATGAGGTAGGTTGATATCAGTATTCTCACGCCGTCGGGCGCCTTACGACAGACTGACAGCAAGGCGTCGCTCAGTTCCCAACTCGTCCGTCCTACTTAATTCCCGGCCAATCCCACGCGTTGCATAGCGGTGCTCCGTGCTATGGTACCAGCTAATTGGTCGTCCCGTTTCCAGTCTCCCCCCCGCACCCCATTTGGCATCTCCCATCCGATCCCGTCCCTCTCGCAGCTCTCCGCCGGGCGTTCCTCTCCCAGTCGCTCTTTTGGTCTCCCTCCCTCTCTCTTTCTCTCTCTCTCTCTCTCTCTTTTTTTTCTCTCTATTTTCCCTCTCCTCTCCTCATTCAGGTATGTGCGCGTGGCACCTCGGCCGGCCGCACATAGTATCCTACCCAAGATAGGCACCTCTGGGCAGGTCGGTGGGAGGGCACTGGCAGTGCCTAGCTTGGGTAGCACCCCTACTGCCACTTTCCCTTACCCAACTGGGGTGGCGTTTTGGCGTTCGATGTTACCAATGTTATGTACGCCCCTCTGCGGATTACTCTTCAACCCCGCCCAGCCGTGTTGCTTGCTGCTGATTGAACTTGTCTAACTTCCATTCCCCGGGAACAACCTCCAACCTGGGGCAAATATGCATGTACCTACATATATGAGGTACCTATGGGCATCTGTGAGTTACCTTAGGTGCACACATATAGGGAGTATCCAAGGTACTTCTGCCTGGCCTGGCCGCTTCTTTTCCTCTCTGAGGTCCTCCAGTCTCCTCCATCCTGCGGGCCACTTACCCAGATGCATGTACCTATAATAAGAGGTGGAGGTACCTAACCTAAGCTCGTATTTAATTCACACAGACAACCATTGGAACCCGGCACAGACAGGGCATAGGCACCTACACCTCTAGGTTATGTATCGGTGCAAGGTTTCGATGTACGGACATGCCTATACGACGGAGGGAAGGGTTTCCATGTGAGCATACAGGTCCGTAGGTGCTAAGACACTTGAACCTACCTGAATGTATGCGTATGGTGTGCGTGCGTATGTATACCTATATGTGCGTGTGTACGTGTGTGATATGTATGTCCGCATGCATAGGAAGCGTAGACGTAGGTAGGTTAGGTATTTTTTTTTCTTTCGTGGCTGGCACTATGGGTTGGCATGTATATCCTAGATAGGTGGGACGGGATAGCGATGAGATGGGATGTGCGTGTACCGGTATACATAATCGGAATGTATAGGTACCTACCTACGTGCGGGCGGAGGAGGCAGCACGGACGGGGATAGATCCCTGGACGTCCTTTCTGCACGGGCAGACAGACGCAGACGAGCATTCTGGTACCTCGCTTGTATTGTACCTGCAAACCTCCCTTGCGCACGCCGTCCTCTTCCCAACTCTGGCTATGCGCATAGGTAGGCCATATATGACCATGTATATATCGGATGCGTGTACGTCGATGTGTACAGCGGAACAGGATCGCTGGAGGATTCCTCTGTGAAAAAACGCAGGCATTTTCCGTTCCATGGCCAATTTGCCGCAATGGGCGGCATTTGCAAATTCGTACTTGTTCTAACCCGTCCTCCAGCCTCCATCCAAGACTGGATCTAACTCTTCGTCTTCCTCTCCCCCCCCCCCTGGCCTAGGCTTGTTCCTTAGCTCAACTTATCGCGTGCCCTCTCTTCGCATCCGTTCCGATCAGCTCACCATCTCTCCGCTTATCAAGTGGTGACCGTCACTGACTCCAGACCTTGCGATCGCTTTCCGCCCACATAGCGCGCGCGCGCCCACCCGCACCCGCACCACATCGCCCTGGTTCTATCCGTAATGTGGTGAACCCTTGCCCTCTTCTTCCCGCGTTCAGGCGAGGTCGTTGGTATCGAGGACCCTCGAACTAGATACCGCTAAGTCGCCGCTGTCCCCGTCGTCCTCGTAGACACTGCTATAACCGACCTTTTTTTCGCGAACTTGCCTCGCTCGCAATTATCCCATCGCCACTCGCCACGCGCTCTGCGGGCGTTAGAAACACCCCCTCCGACGGCGACGTTGTGGTACGCGTACGTAGAAACACCCTCGGAGCGTAGCACCGAACCGACGCCTTCAGCCGACTCACCGAGTCGAATCTGTTTATTTGGGTCGAGAGCGACCCAGGATCGCCGACCAATTACTATCCCGTCTGAGGTGTTACGAGAAAGCCTTCCCACGAGAGGGGCGATCACTCGCCGCGCGCGCGCGAGGGAGAGAGAGAGAGAGAGAAAGAGGGAGAGAGGAGGTCTGGAAACCGAGGCGGCACGACTCCCGCAATATCATGACGCTTTAACGGAACATGACTTCTGTCCTCCCCGCCCCGACCAGAGACGCCAGCCCATCCGTACTTCTCGTGCGATCAGCCTCAATCGCCACTATGGCGCAGGAACCGACGCCGCCGCGTAATGTGAAGCAGGAGGAGGACCCACAGCGTGGCCGTCGCCGGAGCCGCTCCCTAGACAAGGATATGATGGATGGAAATGACAGTGACCCGGCCGGCGAAGGTGACACCAAGAACGACAATTCGTCCAACTCAGACGGGCCGGTGAGAAAGCGGAGGCGGAGTCGCAAAGGCTTGGACAAGAAGTTCGAGTGCCCGACCGAGGGGTGTGGCAAGAGTTACTCGAGGGCCGAGCATCTGTGAGCTTCCAACCTCCTCCCTGCTTGATTCGACTTGGCTATACTAACCTGGCTTTCTTGTTGTCTCGTCAACATAGATACCGGCACCAGCTGAACCACTCTCCGAAACAAATCTACCGATGCGACTTTCAGGATTGCAAGCGCCAGTTCGTCCGACTCGACCTGTGCAACCGTCATAAGGATCGCCATACTGCGAAGGGGTCTGCGCTGAACCGAAAAGACTCCCTCATCAGCCAGACTTCTCCCGTCGACAACGTAAGAGCTCCGTACCCTACGCCTGCTGCCGTCTCCCCCGACTCCGACAGGCTCGGGCCAGGTTATACTCAAGGACGCGGAGCTCACTTTGAATATCAGTCACCAAAAGACCCTATGGCCACCCCGTACACGCCGGTAGCCAGCACGCCTCCGACGGGGTTTCCCCATACTGGACCTTCAAACGGAGTGGACGGCTATGTACACCACGAACCCGGCTATCCCGGTCCTCACGGCACCCGGCATCCGCACCACTCCCCTACGGGTCCTCCGCGGCCGACTGTCCAAACCAACGTCAGCGGCCCTTACGGCGTCATATCGCCAGTATCCACGCAACACGGCAGTTACCACAACCCCCTTACGAGTACGCCCCAGTCAGCCACGGCGATGCCCTACGTCACCCAGCAGAACTTGACGCCTTTCACCTTGCCGCCATCTGATTTCCCGACCACGACAGCTGCTAGCATCCCGAGGGATTCCGGGCAAGGCTATCCGCACACGGCCTCTAGCGACTATAACGAACACGCGCAAGCCCAGTTGAACGGCGAAATGATGCTGCTCGACCAGATGACAACTCAAACTACGATCCCGGTATTCGGCAGCGATGGCGTTCTGAGTAAGTCTCCGTACGTCGCGATTCCGGAGGATTTCTTCGCGTATCTCTTCAACACAAACGGGCCTGACGGTTCACCTCAACTGGGCCACATGATGCCGCAAAACCAGTATGCCAAGTACGTGTCGACAACATCCACCGAAGGCGTCCATTTCAAGCTAACGGGTGGCAAATATAGTTACGCAGAGCATCAATATAGCATGCCGTATTACGGGACGGACAGTGCGTCTCTGGGCTATTTCCCGCCCTCTAATCAGCCGCAGCAGGTCATGGCCGTGACAAACCTTCTCGATCCCAACCTTCCCGAGTCTCTGCTGTCGGAAGAGAAGAGCCAGGAGATCTTCGACTTCGTTAAGGAACGGTTTCACGAGAACGACCATGCGCCGGTCGAGCGCCAAAGAGAGAGCATCCTGGATGGGGATAGAAGCGACGAAAATCACATGCTAAGCCGCAAGATGATGCAACAGTACATAGGATCCTACTGGGTCCACTTTAGCGACCAGATCCCCATTCTCCATAAACCGACCTTCTCCCCGGATCGGACGCCGAATCTGTTACTGATAGCCGTCATGGCGATCGGCGCCGCCTGCTTAGACCGGACCCACGGGCCGAAGGTCATCAGGGCAGGGTCCCAGCTCTCCAACTTCTTCGCATGGCATTTGCGATGGGAGGTATTCATGGACGTGAATTTCCGACCGCCCGCGAAACTCTGGATCTTCCAGACCCTGATACTATTAGAGCTTTACGAGAAGATGTACTCGACGAGGGAGCTTCACGAGCGAGCCCACATCCACCATGCGACAACGATCACGCTCATGCGGAGAGGGAGGTCGCTGATTGGGAAGTCCGCCCTCGACTCGCCGCCTAATCCGCGTGACGAGAAGCAAGGCGCGAGCGGTTCCCGGCATTCCTCTACGTCGGGGCTTGCGCATACGCCAGACGAGTGGTGGAACCACTGGATCACGAACGAGACCACTCGGCGCGCTGCATTCGCCGCATTCCTCATCGACTCTATCCACGCTACAATGTTCGGCCATTCGACGGTGATGGTAGCGCACGAGATGCGCCTGCCCCTGCCGTGCGATGACCGACTCTGGAAGGCCACCAGCGGCGCCGAAGTGGGGAGGATCGAAGCCAATCTCATATCCAACGGAGTCAAACCCATCTCGTTTCTCGAAGGGCTGAAGCGGACGCTGGCGGGACAGGAGGTTCAGACGAACCCCTTTGGTCGCCAAATCCTCATGGCGGGGCTGTTAAGTGTCAGCTGGCACATGAACCAACGCGATCTCCAAGTAAGCTCGCTTGGTGGGGGTGTGCAGCAGGCTCTCGGCGGTCGCGACAAGTGGCGGTCGACGCTTACCAAAGCGTTCGACTCGTGGAAGACCGACTTCGACAAGTCGTTGCAGCGCGCCGACACGGTGGTCGACCCGTACAGCTACGAGAAGCGGAGCGAGGCTAACGTGGTTTTCGAAAGTCGGACCGTGCTGCACCACCTGGCGCACATGGCGATGCACGTGGATATCGTCGACTGTCAAATCTTCGCTCGCGCGAAACGGCTGCTCGGCAGGGCGATCGGCACCCAGGACCTGACCAGCGCGCAGCGAAGGATGAAAGACCTCTGGGCGCCTTCGGCGAAGGCTCGCGATGCCACCTTTTACGCCGCGAAATTTCTGTGCTCCGTGCTACTTCCCCCGAATTCGGCCCCGCGGTCGGACGGGTACAGCCATCACCAGTCGGCCGTGGTCACATATCTGGCCAGAGACGACGTGCTGCTGAATCGGCCGTGGGTGCTGTATTTTGCCGCGTTAGTGGTATGGTGCTACGGCTTCGCGCTGGAGGGACCGTGCCCCGGAGTCCCCATCCCCACCACGCCGCAGGAGAAGATGAGCCAGATGCGGGAGTATCTGCTAAGAGTTGGCTCGGTGGGATCGCCAGAAGACCTCAAGGGCATGAGGGGGGTTAACAACAACAGCGCCCTGCTCGTCGTCCTAAAAGACTCGTTCGAATCGACACGGTGGGAGCTGCTCCACGAAGGTGCGACGTTGCTGAGCAATTGTATAGTGCTCAACAGCGGTGCGAGCGTTGGTTGACAGGGTTCCCCGCCATCGCACAACACGACGGGATTGTCATGAATAGGAAACGCAATAACTCACGACGATCTGAGAACCATCGATGCACGAAGGAAAGGGTAACGGATCATGGAAGAGCAAGGTGACATATTAAAAAAATCCTTCTCCTTTCTTTTTTTTTTCTTCTTTTCGGTTTGCTGCGGGGACCACACACACACACATATACACACATATCTATCTCTATATATATATGCCCTACCTACCGCCTACCAGAGATGTGTACCTAGGAGGGGGGAGGGGAGGGAGATTTGTGTTGGCGGGCTGATTGTTGTTGTAGCTTAAAAACTGTGATCTAGCTATATACCCACTACGACGTATTGGTGCGGCATACTCTCTCTCCCTCACACACGCACATATATACATACCCCGTGTGAGGTTCGTTACTCTTTCGATACGTATATACACATACATATACATATATATATACGATGAATCAAGAACAAGCAAATACTGGCGTGTCCTGTAGGGTCGCAGTTCGTTGTGCTACTTACCGGTAGTGTTTTCGTTGGCGATGTTTTCGGGATGCCTCTACCGTGGAGCGGGAGTTGAGAAGACGGGATAGGACGAACTACATCGGGAGTCGAGTTGGGCGATTCCGCCGGGCGAAGGGTGTTGATTTGTAATCCGGCCCCCGCGCCCTCCCCGCAGTCGGGAGCGGGGGGGATTTCCCGCGGCAAGCCTGTAAGCGGGTGGTGGGCGCCGTTGTCGTCGCCGCTTGGCGCCCTCGCAGGCGAGGTCGCGAATGAGATGTTGGAGGGCAGGGGTATATATATATATATATAGAGAGAGAGAGAGAGAGGTATATACTACGCGGTGTTGGCGTAGGGCGGAAGACGTGCCGGGCACTGGGTCTAACTCCATCGGCGTGTAGTCTCGCGCCGACAGCAGAGGCGGGAAGTGGTTTGGGGCGGCCCCGGTGCCCTATGTCCAGGTTGGCGAATAGCGGGAGAGGTTTTTGGTAGGCTACCCACGTATGAGTAAGCGATGTTAACATACCTACCTACATAGCACCTCTATATCTGAGGTACCCAAGGGCAGGAATCGGTATAGGGACAGAGGAGGTAGGTAGAAAGGCAGGTTTATATATAGGTACCAGATCAGTAGGTTACTTAACGAAGGATAGGTTCGATTCCTACCAGCGCTACTTGGTAGTCTTCGTTCTTTAGCTACCTCTAAAGATGGTTACATGCATAGGTACATTTATAGAGGTTGGGAAAAGGTACCTCCTACCCTACCTCTTTGAGGAGGTAAGTACCTGTGTATTACTAATCCAACGTAGTGGCAGGCAGGTTTAGTGGTGGGTGTCAGGTACCTCCCTACCTACGGTACCTAAGGTAGGTGGGTAGGTACCTCTTAGTGTAGGTGCCTAGCCCACCGTCCTGCGCAGGGAATTCGGAATCGCGCCATGCGGGACAGGTTCATGCGTTATCGCAATGTTCGTCCATCAATCCATACCTCATCCTACATGGTAGAAAGGGATGACACGTCCGGGAAGAGGGCGTGATCGCTCCCATATTAACTCCGAGCTTGCTCCCGGATTTTTTCCTACTTAAATAATCCCGACAGCACGTAGGGCCAGCCATCCGTGTGACTTCGATCCGGTAGCTTACATTCTCCTCCCCTCCCCTCCCTTCCCTTTCTAATAAACCCGCCCGCCGAGCTACGTTCACCTCATCCCGGCAGACGCAGCGCTCACCCTTGACCTTCTTCTGCACTCCAACTCACGTACGCACACCACCTTTGCAAACCCCTCAGCGACACTCCCGGGGGGTCGCAGAGGCACGGCGATAGACGAGAGCGAGTGTGCGAGAGAGGACTCCCTCTCCGCTCCCGTCTGCTGGCGAGATGGTCCTCCTGACCGAGCTCCCCCCCGAGATCCTGCAACATGTCTTGGGCTTCGTCGACCCGCCCGACTTGGCCTGGATCCCCCGCATTTGCAAGAGCTTTTACCACACCGTCGCGGGCAACACCTCGCTGTTCCGGGCCGTCTATCTGAACAACTTCGACAACCCAACGGACAGGTCTGCCGTGAATTGGGAGCAGGATCTTAAGAATGCCGTCCGCCTCCAAATCATATGCCGCCGGGAGAATGTCGAAGATAAGGTGCGATCACATCTCGATTTCTAGCCTAGGGGATGGCCTATACCTTGCTTATTCGTTTTTACCTACGTGTTCGCGCATTCTGCTTACGCTTGTCTCACCCGCATTGTTGCCCCTCGAAAAATCCCTCACTCTCCTAACCCTAGCTGGTACAGAAGAACGATCTTCCGTTCGTCTACGACACCGTCACGGCCCTCCTTCGGAATGCGGCCACCGACACCGACCGGGTCAAGTCGACGACCCATCCGTCCTCCCTCAATGCGGACCTCCTAAGTGCCATCTTCAAGCAAGAGACTAACCAATCGGCCTTCCTACGTCGGTCTTTCATCTACGAACGCGCTCGCGGCGAGTGCAGCATTGACAATCAGGTCGAGGCAGCGCGGCGAGAGGACCACCAGAAGAGTGCGCATCTACACTGCCTCTATGGGGTGCCCGTGTTATACGCGCATTCTGAGTCCCACCGGACCCGGCGCAGCAGGATGAGTCCCTTCGCCTGCTCCAAGGTCTACGACATCCGGCAGTACACCGAAAACACGATGTGGGGGCCGTTTATGGACGATGATACGGGTCGCGTGGACTGGGAGAAGGTGGAGGCGATCATGGTCGTGATCGGGTCCAACCTCCGCAAGCTCGGCCTGACCAAGTTCCCGGTATGCAGGAACTTCTGGGAGATGCCCTTCGCGGGCACGTGGCCGCACAGCTATAAGCCCATCCCCATCCCGACGTCCCACGAGCCCGGGCCGCTCGACCTGCAGGACCCGTACGGCGTGACGGGGATGTGGCTACGCGTCGTCTGCTTCCTGGACTATACCGACTTCTTCGCCTACAACTTCAACTCGGCAGAGAACCCGCCGCCACGGCACATCCCGCGGCCGGCCATCGACGTCGGCGAGGCCACGCGGCTGATCCTGATGAAGCTCCGGGTGACCAAGATCGAACCCCCGGGGCCGGAGGACGGGCAGGCGCTGCCGGTGGTGTTCTTCGAGGGAATTTCGCGGTCCCTCGACAACAGCTTCGACGAGAACGCGAACTCGGACTTGAGAGGTATGAAAGGTGCGTCCGTTGCCCACGCTGACAAGGATGTCCTGCTGACCACAGATTCACGCGGTCACGTGGACTCGGCGAGAGAGCAGGCTCGGTGCGACTGACACCCGAAGGCGAGGTCCGCTGGACCACCTTCTCAGTCTTCAGCGGTGTCGAGCGGTGGCGGAGCGAAAACGTGCAGGTTGGCGGCGTCCGGAGCGCTAAGGGTGTCCTGGGGAACTGGTTTGACAAGTAAGTCCGATCCCATAAGAGTGGAGGAGCGATCCTGCGACCTTCTGCCACACATGCGTGGTGCTGAGCTAATGCTGGGACGGCTCTGCAGGGATTACGACCCGCGCGGCCCGGTGGGCCCGACGGCATTCTGGAAGGTCTCGGACAAAGTGACGGAGTCGACCAGCTACCGCGCGCTGACACATGACTTCCTGCCGCTCATCCAGGGCCATTTCGACGAAGCCCCAGACGAGTACGACCCTGAGCAGTCGGACGACGACGAAGGTGACGACGACGAGCCGGGGCTGGAGCTGGAGATCACGGGAATCTCGTGGGTAACATGGACGGAGGATTAGCTGCCCGCTATCTCTCGCAGTTGGTCTTTTGATCTCGCTCGGGGAAGCGGATCGGATCAGGCGAAAACCATAGGTACCTGCTTTTATTGAGACTGTTCGACGGGGCTTCTTCGCAACCCTTATCTCGTCTTCTCGTTCCCATTTTTATTTATGCTGTATTTATGGCGGCTTCACGACGAGTTCTATCTACAATTAGGGGCCTCGGTAGACGATATACAATTCCGAGATATTGTTTCTGTAGACATGTGTGCTTCTAACGAATAAATGTGTGCTGTGGACGGGGTTGAATATCGTTAAATCGAGCATGTTGGTGCCGCGCGCGGCGGAACGCATAGGTAGGTACATTCCATTACATGACATACTATACGCATACATATGCATAAGTTATGGCTGTACCCTACGCGGTATATCAGCTAGGTATAATTCCTGCATCGACAGTCTCGGCCAGGGTGACTTGTGGGGTGCGGGAACGCGCCAGGGGCAGTTGGCCCGGGCTTCGTCTTTATTTTCCTTTCCCGTTGTAGGTAAGTACCTACGTCAACCTCGCCAACCTCGGCACGGAACCAGCTAGCAACTCTTTCATCCCATCTCCCTCGCCATCTCGGTATCCGTACCCGTGCCCATACCGTGTCCATACGTGTATAATACATATACGTCCATCAAGGACTATCCACAAAGACTGACTTGTATCTACCCACGTTCATATCCACCGGGCACGACATACATTGCCTTACATTCGACTCTCCCGGACACACCGCACCGCGATCCCCTCCCACCCGACGTTCCCGTTTGATCTCTCTCTCTCTTAACCGACATGTTCCACTCCCGAAGATAAAAACAACAGGAAATACAACGAAAGATACAGAGAGAGGGAGAGGGAGAGGGAGAGGGAGATAAATAGATCATCATCCAGGCCCATCTAGCAGCTGCGATGGAATTCGTTACCGCCCTCCGGGGCACATTCGACGACCAGAAGCCCTCGCTGTTTGAGCTCCTCTCCGAACAGCAGCTCAACTCGCTTCTCCCTCCGACGCTGCGATATCTCCTCACCGTAGCTACCCATCGCTACCCGCGCTATTTGCTACGCGTCGTCAATTCATTCGATGAGCTCTACGCGCTGGCCATGCTCGTTGTCGAGCGCCACTACCTACGTACGCGCGGCGGCAGCTTCACCGAGCACTTCTACGGCCTGAAGCGAGAGAAGGCCCTGCATGCCGAGATCCCACGTGCGGCCGCGAAAGCCCCAGCGCTAGTGCGGGAGACCCTCAAGCTCAGCGAAACCGACGTGTGGAAAAACTTGGCGGTCATGGTCGCCGTGCCCTACCTGAAGCGGAAACTCGACGAGAGCTACGAGATCGAGGCCCCGCGCGCCCTTCTCGGCGCCAACTATACGCGCATGCCCGCGAACCCCACCCTCAAGCAGCGCTTCTCGCACTACTACAAGTGGTTCATCCGGAACGTCTACCCGAGCGTGCACGCCGCTTATTACTTCAGCATCATCGCCTTCAGCCTGGCGTACCTGTTCGACAACACCAAGTATCACAACCCCTTCATGTGGCTCATCGGCACGCGAATACGTAGGATGAACGCTGCCGACTTCCAGGCTATTGAGGCCCTGGCAAAGCCGAGACCGGGACATCCGCCTTCCTCTAGAAGTCTCTTCGACCCGAGAACCCTGGGGCCGAAGCTGCTTGGCAGCCTGTCGGTCCTGCTACCGACAAGCATCTTCGCGCTCAAGTTCCTCGAGTGGTGGTACGCGTCGGATTTCGCGAAGCAACTGTCGAGGAAGGCGACCGAGAATCTCGAGCTGCCACCGCCTATCGTGTCCGGCCTGACCGCTCTGGGCGTTAAGATGTCCCAGAGGAAGAGCCGGGCCGACGGCCAGGACAAGGACGAGGCGCCAGATACCGAAATCCCCCTCGCGGAGGATGCGCCCATCGCCACGCCGTCGCTGCTCCCCATCCTGACGGTGCCCGCGCCGAAAGACTCGGAGCTGTGCCCCATCTGCGAGGAACAAATCACCACGGCGACGGCCTGCCAAACGGGCATCGTGTACTGCTACGCCTGCATACACAAGTGGCTCGAAGGCACACACCCGAAGCAAGAGGAGTTCATGGTCGACCGGACAGGCAAGTGGGAAAGCGGGAAGGGCAGGTGCGCCGTTACAGGACGCCGGGTTCTCGGCGGCACCGAGGGCCTCCGACGTATTATGGTGTAGGGGAGGGTCGGGCATGGAGGTAATCGAAGGGGTTTCATCGGCATCTGCATCGAGTCAGGCACTGGCGTTCAGGGTAGGATCTTGAAGAGAGACTGGGAGTTTCAGGGTCCAAGAGCGTGCCATTTGGCAGGTCCATTCTAGACTTTTCGGCGCTGGCCGGCTACTACGGACCATCATCGATATCTCTCCCCAGACCGAATAGTCGCACCACAAATACGGGAGCTGTCGATGGGAATTGCCGGGAGCAAGTATTGGCCATCTCGCATCCCGGTCGCCTCACCACGAGAAGGCTGTCAAATTTAGTTGTAGGGTCCTGCGACAGTTACCGGGATGCGGTGATGCAAGTAATTCAGAATGCGTTTCTATCTGATGATCGACCCATCTAGCCGTCGATATTTGCTCCCTCCGCCACTCGCAGTTAATATGAAGCATTCCATAAATAGCACATTGGGGGAGATCCAGACTCCGGTAGAGGGAGAAAGAGAGAGAGAATCGACTGTTGCCCTCTGAGGCTTCTCTCTCGGACGCTCGCATCAAGATTGGCGCTGGGGACAGTTCGCCACTAGATCCGGAGGTCGCAGGCTCGTTCGTTACGGCAACCCGGAGCGACTTGGGACTGGAAATTGTGCGGAAGGATGCCAATCTCGCGTAGCGCAAATGAAAAGCGCCAGTCTGGATGGGACGGAGACATTCTAGGCTTCGCGTCGCCGCCGCCTCGCTTCCCCAGTTGCCCATCGCCGCTGCTTATTTTAGCATCACCCGGGGTGCTGGATATATATCGTGCTGCTGCTACCCGGCGACAGGCAGATTTTCGCCTTTAACTATATCTGGGTGATTTGTCGTCGATGGCGTTCTTATTTTCCCCCTTCCAACTAAACCTCCCTTAACCAACCCCCCCTCCAGCTGGGGCCGCTCCGAGACCTTCCTTTTCCCGGGGCGAGATGGGTAGCTCTGGTTAATATGGCTAAAATGGCCGCCCAGCCCAGCTGCTATGGGCTTTGCTCGCTCCCCAATCGCTGGCTGTTCCTCTCCCCTCCCCTCCCCCGGTGTTCCTCTTCCCTTCCTCCCTCGGCCGCCACATTCATCACGCTTCCTAGAGACCCGGAAAGCTAGCAGGCCACGGTACGTGGCGAGCGACCGAGCGCGTGCGCCATCCTCGCCAAACATCCCCCTTTTTTTCTTTTTCAGCCGGTGACGACGACGGCGCGCTCGCTGCCGTCCTCCGCCGCGCGTGTCTAACCACAGAGAGGCCAATCTTGAGAAGGCCCGGTTGGGCCCGAGGCACCCCCCGGAAGGGACGCGGGGCCCAGAAGGTCCATCTCTTTTTGGTCGCTTCGCTCTGCAGGCCCTCGGAAATTTGCCACGCCTCACGCCGAGGGCCTGGCTGGCTGCTTGGTGGTGGTGGTGCTAGGACTGGGAGGCGTCTGGGTTGGCGAGGCGAGAGAATAGACCCGTCAGCGCGAATGGGGTGTGTGTGTGTGTGTGTTGCGCGAGTCGCACGAGCGGTTGCTCGTCGTCTATAAAGGGCCCGGTGTCCGCGTCTCGAACGGTGCTGGCTGTTGTTGTTTCTCCAGCAGAGTCCTCCACGCGACTTCGTAGTCAGATTCTCTCCTCGCCGCCAACGCTGCTCTGCGATACTCTACATACTTATATACAGAGTATTCCACATCCGCCCTACTATCCTATCCCTGCCTCTGCCCTCTGCGGCCGCCCGTCTTAAGACATCCCGCCCGGCCTCTCCGACTCTGCGCGAGAACCTCCTTCCTCTGCGAAGACTTACAGCTGCGCCTACACCACCACCACCCACACACACACACACACACATCATGCGGACCACGTCGCTGCTCGCGCCCCTCCTCGCCGCCAACCTGGCGGCGGCGTCGCCGGTGCCGGCCGAGAGCCCGGCGGAGGACGCGCCGGCGGCAGCGCCGCGCGTGGTGTCGATCACGTACTCGGGCAAGGGGTGCCCGTCGGCGAGCCCGGGCGTGGAGCGCAGCGGCGGCGACGACGCGCCGTCGCTGCGGCTCAACGCGTTCGAGGCGCAGGTGCCCGGCGCCGCCGACGCCGCCTCGGTCCACTGCCAGGCCCACCTGCAGCTGCAGCTCGCCGGCACCGGCACTGCCGGCTGGCAGGCCGCCGTCCGCGACGTCGCCGTCCGCGGCCACCTCGTCCTCGACCCCGGCGCCTCCCTCGACTGGTACGTCACGAGCTTCTGGAGCGAGGACGCCGACAAGACGGTACGTTTTGACTTTTTTTTTTTCTGTCTCTTTTTGCTACTACTATTGCCTACACCTCACCCCTCCTACCCCTCCTGCCCCCCCTTCTCTCTCTCTACCTCCGACGCATCGTCTTACTAACACGGGCCCCCGCGCAGTCGACGCTCCGCGGCACGCTCAAGAACGAGGGCAGCTCGCGGCTCAGCGAGGACGTGACGGCGCGCGGGACGGTGCCGGCGGCCCAGGTCGCGTGGTCGCGGTGCACCACGTCGTCGGGCTACGTCGGCCTGCTCAACGTCAACTTCCGCGTCGCCCTGCAGCAGGCCGCCGCCTCCCAGCACGGCTACTTCGGCAAGGACCCCGACACCGCCCCCTCCGAGACCTGGGGCTACGTCTGGAGGCGCTGCTAGAGCGCGCGCCCCCGGAAGGGATATCACCGACGAGAGTGCCTCGTCGTTATGGGGTCCGGAGGGATAGTGCCTAGGTCGGAGATGTTAAATATATAGATATATATATGAGAGACTCGGCGAGAGAGGGGAGGAGAAGATTTGGTGCATGCTCAGCTTGTTCTCTATGAAAAAGGGGGGGACGGTAAGGGGGGAGGGAAGGGAGAGCGCCGTCCCGGGGTTTGCTTACTGGACATACTACTACTTACTACTATACGCTTTTTCCCTTTGTCAGCGTCGGTTGCTTGGGCATGGCTACTTACTTGGACACTGGGGTTTATAAAAAATTGGATAGATTTCGCTTCAGACAACGTCGTGATGAGAAGGGTGCTGCGAGCTCCTTACTCCCGCGCATGCAGATGTGATGCTAGGAGACCTTTTGGATTGTGTCCACGTCGTCTAAGCTGTAGATGGCGACCTAAACCTCGCGACGCGGATCTATCCGCAGGAGATTTGAGATAGGCTGGAAGCGGGATACTGAGGGTAGCAACCCAATTAAGCAGATAGACATTTGGATGCGGACATTGAGAAATACAGACGATGTCGGCCGTTACATAACAAAGCAAAAAAATGTAATTAACTAATATATCTGCTTGAAAACTACTGTTGGTTATATCTACCAACACTAAATAAACTTCACTTGATTCCAACTGGCTCCCGGAGTGCTGCTGTAGATAATAGCGGCTCTGGTACTTAGCGCTTCGCTGCCTTCGCCTCCGTGATGAATTGCCGGCCGATCCGGATAGTCTCATCCACGCCCTGCTGTCTCAACCAGAACCTGCGTGGACGAGTTAGCGGGTACGGCAAGTAACTGCACAGTGCAACGGTTCTCTTACATTTGTTCGGGAGTTCCTCCACCATGGATGGATATCCGGCGGGCGTCTTCCTCCAGGGACTCGCGAGTGATCTTCTCCGCGGTTTGTAGAGGGAGGGAGAGAGGCTTCTCTGTTAATGCGTCTCCTATGCTCTCCTCCAGAGTCTGCTTCCTCATGGCGAAGCGCTCGGCCCGCTCCTTTTGCAGGCCCGGGCTGTCGATCTGGCTCAACACGTGCCGGACCACAAATTGCGCTGCCAGGTACGCGTGCTCCGCAAGCAGGATGCTCAATAGAAGACCCCAGCCAACGATGCCCGACGGATCGCCACCGGGTCCCTCGGCCTCACCACTGAAGAGGTACACGATAGCGGAGCTTACCAGGCTTCCGACCCAGGACAGAAATCCCAGTGCGTTTAGCCAAGGGCCAATCGAGTCGGCGCGCCAAGGGATGGGTCTCTGGCTGGTGACAGCGATTTTCATAGCATCCGATCGAAGCTCGATCCAGTTGTTGATCAGGAATGAGCACGGCGTAAGCGGCCAGATGGCCGAGAAGAGCGACAGGTAACCGAATTGAATGACCATTTCTCTGTAGTCTCCAGTAACGTCGTAGACATCGAGTTTTGCCTCGTCCCGGACCCGTTCAAGGAAAGCATGCTCCTCTGGGACGTCTGAAGTTGCCGTCTTCTTCGACTGAGCCTTCTCGACCTCCTTGAATACCTTGCGTTTCACGTACGGCATGACGACCTCGACACCCAAGTTGACAATCTGCGCTGTGACTGTGAAATAGATGACCTGTTTCTTTAGACGATCTGGGTTGATAGTGAAGCTTTCGGCAACCACCGAGTCTTCGCCAGAAGACTGCTCGCTAGTAATGTTAAAAATATTCAGGTATGGAACTAGAAGGTTTCCAAAAGGCATATACACGAATGCGGTTAGGAATAAAGGGGTATAGGAAGTGACGAAGTTGATAACGAATAATTTCTGGACAAGAGATGCATGATGAGCTAGGAACGTGTTAGTGAAAAATGAAGGGAAAATACGGGGAAGAACTGTAGGTACGTACAATCGACTGTCTCGAAATTTTCCTTCTCTGTGAGATGCTCCGCGAAACTGCTAAGGATAGCAGATAGCGCTGGCAGTGCTCCGCTGAGGATGACTGTTGGTGTGAATGTCTGGATAGAAGTCCTGTTAGTACGCTCACCACACAACTCCGGATGAGCCCACAAACCAGGTATGATTTGAACGGTCCATCGTAGACTTCGGAGAGGAATATTTCGATCGAGAAGCAGAAGACGTAGAGAGCACCGAGTATTGTTAGACAGACGAGGGCGAATGGGACCTGCAATAGCTGAATTTTCAACCTCTTGACCGGAGAGTAGACCTTCACGGTTTCGCCAGTCACGGGATCCGCGGCCTCACGGTCCCATCTGAATTGTGTTCGGGGTCGTTGGATGCGCGACACACCACGGACACCCCATTGGACTGCCAGATCAACCTCCTTCTTCTTCCACCATTCGAAGAAGATCACGGACCACAGCGAGTTTAAAAGGGTGTAGAACGTCGAATAGCGGCTGAGGAGAAGCCAAGCGGCGAATCCGAAGGCGGCAGGGAAAATGAGAAAGGCAAAGTACGACTGCAGAAAGGCGAAATAAAAGGCGACGCTCTCGCCGAATTTGTCACGAATCTGGTCGAGGTCCTTATCGTTTAGCAAATACTTGGAGCTCCACTGCTTGATCCATTGGCGGTTGAAAGCATGATTGTGAAGTGGAAAGATGGATACAATATCTTTCCACTGGCCGATCTTGGGAGTGATGCCCGCACCCCCCTCGTTCTTGGGCTTCGTTATGAGAAGATAGACGGTACGCAGTCGTTCAGCCTCGCTAACCGGCCGGGAGCTGAACTCTACGGCCACGGTCTTATCAGGGGCGATAATCCGCACGCCGTACAGCCAATCCTGGACCCGCTCACGATAGATGTGGCTGGCGAGCAGCTTCTCAGAGGCTACTTTGACGAAAACCAGTAACGAGGAATCGTCGCCGCTCCGGACCTCGGTGGCGAGTCCAGCTCTGGATAGGGCCTCGACGAGCTGAATAAACCCAGCTTCGGCCTCAGCCCCGTCCTTGGGGATCCTGTAATGGATCACATAGTCGACGTTCATGTTGGTCCCGAACTCTGGGCCGTCGCCATCGGAGGTGTACAGAGACCGGAGACTCGTCATGGCAATGGTGAGCTCCGGAATCCCGTGAAAGAGAGTGGGTTAAAATATGGCTACTAAGAAATACTGCGGCCGAGAAGTTCTGCGTGACCAGCTAAGGGAGAATACCGTAGTCGACGTGCCAGCAGTCCCCGAAGTCGGAAACGAATACGGGGTAGGTAGAACGAATAGAAGACGGGAGGGTTAAGGCCGAAGGGAAAAAAAAAAGAAGAAAAAAGTGTGTAGTCCTTATGAGACAAAGGAGATAGAGAGGAAATAGCGAGGTGCCATGGAGAATAAGTTGGGCGCGGTGGTAGATATATCGTGGCCTCGAGACGGCATGGATTAGGTATGTAGGGCAAATACATAGGGCAATATCAGGGAAAGCTGGGACGATGGAAGATCGAAATCAGGTCGAGAACGTCATCCCACGCTAACCCGCCAGCCGGCCAGCCGGCCAGCCAGCGTGGGGCCAGCTGAACTCGGGTCCACTGGCTAGAGGCGCCTCGTCCAATGGCCGACGCGCGGCCCTATGCATATACGTGTGGTAGGTAGCTAACGGGAAATATCGCATTGCTGCATTCTTTCTTTGGTGACACGTATACGTACGTAGGTATCTCACAGGCGCCTAAGGCCTGAACACGCCCCTGAAATGCGCTGTAAATACGGCCCTACCATGGCAAAACACCGTCCATTCCGTCCATTGAGCAGGTACACCGGCGAAACGTGGGCCACTAATGGCACACTTGGCACCGACACTCGGCACCACCTGGATGGTGCCCCGCCGAGCCCCGCCAGACCCTACTCGACGTCGCATTACGCGGTGGTCGACTTGGCTCTATCTATCCTTCTTCCAACTTCACCCGAGCTGCCTGTATTAAGAGACTGAGCCCGGCCGTGAGACTCGCCATGTCGCCAGCCGCCCTCCTCGCCGAGCTATTCGTTCCATAAAACAGAAAAAAGTGCTACAGATCTGCAGCTGAGGATACTGGCCTGCAACCTGCTGTCCTTTCCTTTCCTCGACGGCTGTCTTGCCAAGACCCGGGGAGCCTGAGGCCTCGCCATTCTTACTACGTCATCGCAAGCAACAAGGGGAAGAACCGGAGCAAGGACGAGGCGACGTACCATCACACCTACCCATACCACCCCTCGTCGTACCATGGGACTGCTCGTCAAGCTCGGCCTGCGCCGTCGCGTCAAGTGGGAGCGTCCGACGGTGCTGGACTGGCTTCTAGACTCGCCCCTCCAGGCGTTCGTCTTCCATCTATACCGCGTGATACTATGGCTGCGCGGCAATCCTGTAAAGCCGCCGCGGAACGGCAGCCGACCGCCCATCAAGATCGTCTTCCTCTCCGACACGCACGAGTCTATAGTTGATCGCGTACCCGACGGCGATCTGCTCATCCACTGCGGAGACATGGTCAACGACGGCACCGCTGTCTCTATCCAAAAGCAGGTGGATTGGCTCGCCTCGCTGCCGCACCAGCACAAGGTCGTGGTCTGTGGTAACCACGACAGCTGGTTCGACGTCAACGCCCGGGACGAGGCCGACACGCTCGCCCATCGTTCCGTCGATATGAAGAGCTTACGTTACCTCGAGCGTGAGTCCGTCACCCTCGCCTTCAAGGGCGGCCGCAAGCTGAATCTTTACGGCGCCCCGGATATTCCTTGGTGCGGAGGCCCGGAAAACGCGTATGTCTCGAGAACCAACACGTCTAAAGCCCCTTCTGAGCTACCCTCCCAACTGATGCCGCATAGATTCCAGTATACGGACCAGCAGAACCCATGGGACGGCACCATACCCATGGATACCGAGATCCTGATAACGCACACACCACCGGTAAGGAACATCGCCCTCGACACGTTGAGGTAGTATAGTATAGTTAGTAGTGGCTAAACACATTGCAACCGTAGCAACACCACCTCGACTTATCCATCGGCTGCCCACACCTGTTGCGCGAGGTATGGCGCAGGAAGCCGAAGGTGCACGTCTTCGGCCACGTGCATTGCGGCCGGGGCATGCAGCCTGTGTTCTGGGACGACTGCCAGAAGGCATACGAGAAGGTCATGTCCCGCCAGAAACGAGGGCCTCTCTACGACATGCTCCCGCACGCTGGCTGGCTGGATGCGTGGAGGGTCCTGCAGTACGGCGTCGTGAGCGTCCTCTGGCACTGGTTCATGCTGGGCGGGGCGGCCGACGGGAGCGTCATGATCAATGCTGCCATGCAAGACGGCACATCGGGGAGATTGCTCAAGAAGCCCCCCTTCACGATAGAGATATGAGATAAAACGCTTCGCAGTTAACGCATATCCCCATATCTGCGTAAAGGGGCATGGGACAGGAGCAAAGGGGGCGCCTACAACCCTACAACTACGGGACTAGGACGCAGAAAACAGCGGTCTCGCGGAAATTTGATTGCCTTTCAACGCCTTTTGATCCTATCGAGGCTCGCCAGTGGACTCTCCCCCAAAGCCCAGATCCAACTGGCGTGCGACGGTGACTCGGATACGGATGCCGAGGGTGCCGGATTGCCGGGGATAGTGCTGCCAGCAGTCGCCATACCAGCGCAATAATAGGATCTTAGAACCGTGCTTGACAGCTCATCGAAAGCGATCATTGAATACGGCAATAGAAGTCTCGAAGTTCATCCCCACACATCCACCTTCATCTGCTGCGCCGTCGTAATCATCGTCCTTCGTCACCCCTTCTCTCCTGACTAATAACCCCTGTTCTCTGCGGAAATCGGCCCCCCCTTTTCCCCTATAACTCCGAGCCCTGAAACGACTAACACTAGATTCCATCTGGCGAGAAAGGTATTATACAAAGAAGCTAGAACGAAATGAGAAGAGAGGGAGAACGCCACCCAGTAGAGAAAACAAGAAGGGGATTGTATAGGACATCCAGGCCGGCGAAGGGAGGCGGATACAGGAAATATAGCAGACACGGGTAGAACGGGAAGCCCAACGCGCCTCACACCACCGCCATCACCCCGAACACTCCGAACCACAGCGCCAACCCGCAGCCCAGCCACGCCACCGTGCGACCCTCCCCGCCGCGCGGAGCGCCCGCGGCGAGGGGTGTCGGGGCGCTCTCAACGCCACCCGCGCTTGGCTCGCTCGGGCGCGGCCACGGCGCCGCGGCGCTGTTAGCCGGCGGGGGCGGGGCCCCGATGGGGACGACGGTTTGCAGGGTGAGCGCGGTGACGGGCGCGGCGCCTTGGGCCGGGGCGGTGGAGGCGGAAACAGATGGGGACGCGACCGCGACCGCGTAGCCCATGGCGGGGGCGCCGGGGGGCGCGAGGTCATGGTGCGTCGGCGCCGGGACGCGTGCAATAGTGATGGTTCGCGTTTGCGTCGGCGCCACATCCCGCGGGACAACGGCGGCGGCTGCCGCCGCGGCCTTCTGGTACACATCGATGTAGCCGACGTCCCAATACCTGCGCAGGCTGGGGGTCAGTTCGGACCAGGGGGGTTTGGTGGGGGCGGTAACTCACGTGTCCGCAAAGTTCGCCGGACTCCCCGCGACAAAGTCCTCGCACGTCGGTGCCAGCTGGGCGCACTGGTCGGTTCGGCGCCAGAGCGCGCCTGCGTAATCGCCACAGAAGTTCTGGTATCGCGCGTCAGTGGCTGGCCGGCGGTCCTACCGCACGGGGGAGAGGGAAGGCCGGGGGGGGGGCAGGGTTTCCTGGCTCACGATGCTGAGTACGAGACTCAGATTGAAGAAGTAGGTGTCGGGGTCGCAGCCGGGGCCGCCGAACACGGCCTGCGGCGGCCCCCAGGTCGACGGGTCCGGGCCGACGGCGGGCGCGTACACGATGTTGTCCGGGATCGTCGAGCGTGGGAAGTGCCACAGCTTCAAGGCGGTAGCGTCCCACTCGAGGGCGTACACGCCGCCGCCCTCCGCGTTGAAGGCGTCGCCGTACGACGCCGTGTCCGAGGTCGGGGGGGCGTAATTGCACCCGATATTGTATGTCTAAGGGCCTCGTTGTCAACGCGGCGTCTCATAGGGAGAAGGAGGACATGCTGCTGCTCCACCTACATCTGGTGAGCAGTCACTGCGGATCTGTTCGCCCGAGAACCCGTCCACTGGCGCATGGCACCCAGCGGCACTACTAGACTTAGCAAGGCTTCGTCGCGCTGTCTGACGAATTGAGGGATTCTCACGTGTGAGCAGAAAACAAGTTTCTGTGAGCGTTGTTTGCGCCCTCGATAATCTCCAGCTCCCCCCCTTCCGGCCACGTGGTGCCGTCCTGGTTATTGAATGCCCAGACTGAGGCGAGTTAGGCCCGGTTCTCTAAAGATGTTATGCGGTGCAGCAACATACAAGCGGGCCATGTGCCGCACGTCGATGCTGGCATATGGGCGAAGTCTGCAATGAAAAGCCCATGGGTGAAGGTGTCATTGCTAGTAAGTCGGATACTCGGTCGCCCCTTATCGCTAGTCAAGTACGTATTACTCGCATCGACGCCCAGCTTGACGGCATTGTAGTCCGTGTTGATAGACACGAGTCCCTGGGCTAGGGCGTCTTCCTTACTCTGGTAGCTATTCCCCCGTTAGAGGCGGGGGTATTCTCTTACGGTATAAGCGTTATCTCGGATCTAATACTAACTTCGCAAAGCCGTGATTGGGGTCGACTCCGGTGAAGAAGTTGAAGCTATCTAGCAGCCGCTGGCCGGCATAGTGCGCGGTGATCGAATATGCCATCGGATCGACGAGGCAGAGAGACGAGGGAGAACGAAAGAGGAAAAAAAAACTGGGCGGGTCGAAGGAGCGACGGGGAGATCTAGTGGGCAGCAAAAAAATGAAAAAGAAGCGAAGAGCCTACCGTTAAGGAGCGACTGGTGCCGATAGCGACCGGATGGTAAGCGTTCAGGAGAAAGAATACGGCGAACCTACGGGCAAAGCCCGACGGCCAGCCTATGGGCATTTTAAAGCATGCATGGCTTCGACGTAGAATACTTTCTCTCCATCACGGCTGCGTGGAATGCCTATGTCGAGACGCGGCAGCAAGGCAGAGAATGTTAATAAGACCGGGAGTTGCAGCGGAGGCCCAGGCCAGGGCGGGTGAGACACACGCGCTCCCCCGATCGGTCGCCAGTCCCGGGTCTTCCACGCGTCGATGAGGAGCGCCTCGCTACGGCCTTATAGTAGCGGCATCTTTCCTAACATGATATCTCAACGGTACTACGTAGCACGTCGCACACGGGTCTCGAGGACCCCGACAGCTGCGCGGGTGCGAAGCTAATTTGCTTTATTCGGCTTGTTGGTGTGGTTGTTGAGGCCGCAATTCAGACCTCATCTTTGCCGGGTATACTCATGTGTGCTACGACGCTTTGCCACGGCGTTGGGGTTGGATTGCCGTGGACATTCCCTCTCGCACCTGCGGGCATCCATTGGGGTAAGGGGTAAGGAGCTAGCTGATCGGGCGGTGCGAGTTGTTTACGACGGGCACGGCGACAAATGAATAAAAGAAATCAATCTGAGAATAAATGCCAGTGTGGCGCCTGCAATGCGATAAGCGCGGTCGAGCAGCGGGGCGATTGGCATCTGGTGGTCTGTAGCGCGCTGGTTAGGCATGAAAGTCCGATAGAGCGAGCGAGGGTCTCTAGGCGGTAGCGTCTCTGGGCGGTATCTGCGCTTCTAGAAGCTATCTGATTATTGCTACGAGTACCTACATTATACCTACCATACCTACTACGTTGACCTCTGGACCGAGAATGTCGGCGTCGTAGCAACGATGATGATGATGATGATGATGATGATGTAATGAGCAGGAGATCGCCAAGGCGAAATCGCACACTGCGACGGAGTACGTAACCGAGATGGTCCGGGGGTGACATGTGAAAGCAGAGGTGGTCAACTTGGACCTACTCATAGGGACGAGAGGGACGGCCCCCCTTTCACTGGTCATGCGCCGCCCCAGACGGAAGGAAGCTGGTGTACATACATACCTAGGTAGGTATATCGAATATCTCTACGTATGTATCTCTCCATATGTAGGGACCTGGCCTGCATGTGTTGTACCTACATCCCTACAAAGTACGTGCGTGGGCAAAGGGATAAAACGTGGGGGAAGAAGAGGGAGGGTCCGGGTCCAGATGGGATTGCCTAGGGTCCCATAGTTTACCTCGGCACCGGAGATCCGGGAGCCGAGACAATGAAGCCATAGCGCCGTGTCCAAGCAGGTAAGGTACCCAAGGTACACCTCCGCCCCGTGGCGTCCCCGCGCCAAACACGCCCAGGTAGGAGGAGGTAGATCCGCAAGGTTGTGTGTGTACTCGTAGGTACCTGTAAGCAGATGGGGCACTTGGTACCTCTCTTCAGACAGACCTACCACGTTACGGCTAACTGTCATCATCCATCTTATCCTATTCTCCCAGCTCCTATTGCCGACATCGATCCCGCATCTCCCGTCGGAAAGCGTGCGACGGTTCTAGCCCGAACCACCTACGGGCCAACGGCTAACTAGCCGCTAGTTGGGGGGGCTAGTTTGGCAATGGCCTCCGGGCTGACAAGTGCCCCAGGCCAGCGCGGCTAGCCTTTGCCCCTCATTTAGGGAGTGGGCATGGCCGGCGAGGAAGAGGCAGAGAGAGAACGCGCCTCATCTCGGTGGCTTTTGGGATTACGACGGAGCCCCTTAGCTAGGTAAGCTAGGTCACCGCTTCACGAGCCACCGCTTCGCGGACCACCTTTTTACAAATATGCTTATAAATAAACGATTTTTACCCGTAAAAAGGCGGGTAAATTTTTTTTAGGTTAATTGGTTAATGATTTAATTAGTTTTATATAAATTTGGGATTTTTTCCCTTATCTTAATAGGTTTTTATATAATCTTTTAACGAAGGTACCGAAAAAGTTCGTAAATACCGTTTTAAACCCGATTTTTTACGGCAATAAAGTGGGGTTATTACGTAATCCTTAATAGTATAATTAGAGAAATGGCTATTATTATTTAATCTTCTTTTTATTTATTAATACGATTTCTATTTAATTTGTTATCTTAAAAAAACACCTAAAAACTTATCATTTTTTTGCAGTTATTTGAGATCATTTTATATGGGAAATCGGGCCAACCTTCACTGTCCAAATTTCCTATATAAAATCGCGTAAAATAACGCTAAAAAAATAAAGAAATTTAATATATTATTTAAAATAATAAATTAAATAAAAATCGTATTACTAAATGAAAAAAAGATTAAATAATAATGGCCATTCCTCTAACTATACTATTAAGGATTACGTAATAGCCCCACTTTATTGTCGTAAAAAATCGGGTTTAAAACGGTATTTACGAACTTTTTTGGCACCTTCGTTAAAAGATTATATAAAAACCTATCAAGATAAGGGAAAAAATCCCAAATTTATATAAAACTAATTAAACCATTAACCAATTAACCTAAAAAAAATTTACCCGCCTTTTTACGGGTAAAAATCGTTTATTTATAAGCATATTTATAAAAAGGTGGTCCGCGAAGCGGTGGCTCGTGAAGCGGTAACCTAACTTACCTACCTACCTCCAGGTACCGCGTGTGCCTGCGTAACCGGACTACTTGGGCACCTGTAGGTCCCTACTATACCTGGAGATCCGGGTGCCTCTCGCTGCTATCGTAGGTACCTCGCGGGGTTACCTGTTCCTACGTTACCTCTAGGTACCTCTTGAGGTGCTAACCCTTAATGTCCGGTGCTCTAGCTTACGGTTTGTTGTCGCTTGGGTGAGGGAAGTCGGGATTAAACTCTGGTCGGCGAAACGGACTCTTGCATACTCAGCTATTAAAGTTTAGTATTTCTGTCTAGAGTCCGGTTGCAAGGGCGCGAGTAGTCAATCACTCACCTTGAAGCCCACTCAGCATATCAGGGAGGCCAAATCCGAAGTAGGTTGGCATCTCGGGTCTCAGCTCGAGTTTACCGTCAGACTCAGAATCGGAGATGACAACGTAGTCCCCAACTGCAAGTGACGACATAGCACTCCCAACCTCTGAGATGAAGCCAACAGCCTCATGACCCATGGTCCACGGGGGGACGCCGCCAGAGAATCCATGATATGCAAGTCTGAACCGCATATAGCGGACGTAGTGATTCGGACGATTGCATCCGTTGGATCTATAATGACAGGCTTTGGTATATCCTGGACGGCCATTTGGAAGGGAACACCCTCGCAAACCACAGCTCTCATGGTGGAATGAATGAGGGTTGTAAAACCTGAGAAAATAGGACCGTGAGTGGAATGATAGTGGGGCTTTGCTTGAAGGAGGCTGATTTGAATTGCATTGAGTAATGGGCACTTTGGTGTTCTCACTGAACCATTTTACACACCTAGGGCCAAGGTTTTGGGTCGGCTAATTGTAGACACGCTCAGCAGTCGAAGTAGTATGCCTGCGCCTTATAAATAAATCGTTCGTTTATTAAAATATAGAATCCGTTTAATTATATCTCTTTAATTAGTTTTACAATATATAATTCAAGTTGATAACTTTTATAGTAGCTTAATAAGGTGGTCCCACTTTTACGTTTCGGTCGATTTTTAATTCGCGAAAATCGGGTTGTCGGGTACGCACTAATGGTGCACCGTATATAATCCCCCTCGGTGCCGCAGGTAAAGGCACTTGGTGCCTTCATGAGTTGGCACATTGGATGGTGCTATTGATAGACCGAGGAACTCTGAGATGAGCGCACTCGTCTCCACCGGGCGGATAAGGGGCCGGGAAGAAAATTGTAGCGCCGGCGCCGCAGGAGGGGCAGATGCGCCCTGGGAGACCTCAGACTCCTTCATCTCGACGTGGATATCGAAGATTCCATGCCGGTTAAGGATTTCTCGGCATGCGGCCACAGTGTCATACCCTTTTTCAAATGGTGTTGAATCTGCTTTCACAGAGATCAACAAAGTGACTGGATTATCGAATTGTTCTCCAGTACGTTCATTGGCTCGTTCATAGCCAATTCGGAGAATGTCAACTGCAGTCCAGTTAACCCCTTCAAGAGCCTCTAATATCTTTCGACGCAGGGGCCCGTTCTCATTCGATGGGTTGACGATGGCATGGTCTCCAACAGGGCGGAGCACTTTATGGATCGGCCAATTGTCTTCTTGAAAGCTCCATGGATCTATGCTGGTGCGAGCTACCAACTTGGGATGGCTACGTAAGCCATAGGTAGTAGTAGTAGCCTTCTCACTCTTCAGTGCTGGGGGGGAGAGGGCGAGAATGAACGACTGGTTCGGCCATTGCGAATCTATCTCTTTGGTGGGTGCGAGCGGGGAGGCTTTTGCTTCGTAGATGGCCGTGCAACTGCGTCGAAGGTCGGACCTGGCGCACCGGAGTACGCAAATTGGATCGCCAGTTGCTTGACCTAAATCGTTGGCGGAAGGGTGAGGGACTTGCGGCACGGCGAGAGGCGCAGGCGGACGGGGTTGGAGGAGGAGGAGTTCTTGGAGGGGAAGTCTGACAGGATATTGTGACTATTTATATGTGTCGCGTAAAACGTAGACGCCTACAATACGCTTTGCGGTATGTAGGCATATAAGGGCTGGTTCAACTGCTACGTGACAATATGCTAATCAGCTCGAGTTCCACGCATTGTGAGTCACAAAGTTTGATGCGAGGAAACCAACCTAATTGATGTCCACACTACCTAGGTGGGCCGACAGAGTATTAATCCTCAGATGGGAAAGTTACTTGGAGTGGCGCCCTGATGAGCGAAAGATGGTCAGTAAGAGTTGGAGCAGCGGCTCGCGCAAACAAAACCGATCGGAGGAGGGTAGCTGGGCACCCGCAGGTAGACCGACAGACAAGATAATACAAGAACTTGACAAATTAGACACCCGAAGGTAGTCCAACAGACAAGACAAGAGAAGATAAGAACTTGGTGAACTGGACACCCGAAGGTAGTCCGACAGGTGAGGCGAGTCGAGACAGGCAGGAGAACGAACCAACGAGGTTGTCCACCCGGAGGTAGGCCACAACGGGAGCGGTGAGTCGGCTCACACGAACAGAACAGATCGAAGGATACCCAGTCACCCGAAGGCAGACCGACAGCTAAGAGTATTGGCAGACAGAACGCGGGCAAGTTGGGCTTCCGGCAAAGAGGGCTGGTTCCGATCGTGTTCACATCAAGTCGAGTCAGGGTGAAGACGGCGGAGGCATCAGGCAACGCTGGGCACAGCCTTCGCAGTCTAATATAGCAGGGCCTATGCGTGCGTATCTTTGGCAGGTGTGACTTGTCTCGGAGCGTTTCTCTAGACATGGTAGGATTTCATCGAGGGGAGGAACTACATTGGCAAGCAGGAAGGTCAAGCCTCACTATACCCCGTGGGCTTTCCCGGACAACCCACTGTAAAGAAGTTTTCTCTTGCAAGTGCGGTGAACTAGTTTGGTTGCTCCAGACGGAACTTGCCTCACCAGTCGCGGCCTTCGTACTTGCCTACCTAGGACAATCGCTCCATGAATTGATTATGGGTTTAAGTTGGTGGCGATAGTTGATCTGATGAGTACAGTATCAGAGCCGACATTTGATGCATGCTGTCAGTCAAATTGAGTCAAGCTGGAAGATGCAGACCAACACTATTGCTGTACAAGCTGTATGTGATTGCTCTGTGTGATGCAAGGCATTGGGTATGTGCTTATGGCGTCTTTTTACTGTGTGTTTTTTTATTATTATAGGGAATCAAACCCGGTGACATGGAAGTCATGGTGGTACTTGTGGCATCCCCCTGGGTTGGGTACCGAGACTGACGATACGCCCCGCGACCTGCAAGTTGGCCGCTCTACCGGGGTGCGTCCAAGTACACCAGCCTTACACCCATACCCATATACATCATCAGCCGAGGCCCCACCATCAATAAAAAAAGCGACTTACCGTTCCATACCGCGGCATATTATCCCCGTCGTCGTCTTCTTACCCATTGCCGTCGAATCTCGAACCCCCGTCCTCGTGTCTTCACCTCTCCCTCCCTTTAAAGCCCCGACTCCGCCAGACCCCGAAACAGCAACTGTAAGCTCTTGTGATGTTGGCATCATTAGCAAGGAGTCGGGCACCCGCGACCGCTCTCAGAATTCCCGTGCGACAAGCTCCTCAGATCGCAAAGGCGAGTCTACACTCCCGCAGCATCGGGTCTTTTTTCGGTTTCTTTCCTTCTCCTTTTTTATTTTTATTTTTCGCGAAATTAACACCCGCGTCTTGTAGAGTGCACTGATGGCGCCCGCACCGAGACGGAGCAACAGCTCCCTCCCCGCAGGTGAGTTTCTCATGGCCTCGGCAAACAATCCCGCCCAGGCCTGCGTGTCGTGGCCCTGGCTGCCGTAGCTGACGATGGCGCTTCGCAGGGTATGTGGAGGATAAATCCAAGGGCGCCATGCTCCGGTTCCAAGAGTCGCTCCCCCGATTGCCCGTTCCCACTCTCGAGGAGACCGCCACGCGCTACATAAAGAGCCTGCACCCTCTACTAGAGCCGGCCGATTACGCTGCGAGTAAGAAGGCCGTAGACGAGTTCATAAAACCGGGCGGCGTCGGCCGCAAGCTCCAGGAGAAGTTGATTGCGAAGCGGGAAGCCCCGGACGTCAAGAACTGGCTCTACGAGTGGTGGAACGACACGGCCTACCTGGCCTACCGCGACCCCGTTGTCCCCTATGTCAGCTACTTCTACTCGCACCGAGACGACCGCCGCCGCCGGGATCCCGCCAAGCGCGCTGCCGCCTTGTCGACCGCCACCCTCGAATTCAAGAAGCAGGTCGATGGCGGCTCGCTCGAGCCCGAGTACATGAAGAAGCTGCCTATCTGCATGGACAGCTACAAGTGGATGTTCAACACCTGCCGGGTGCCGGCCAAGCCCGCCGACTATCCCGTCAAGTACGACTACAAGCTACACAAACACATCCTCGTTATCCGGAAGAACCGATTCTTCAAAGTCCTCCACGAGGTCGACGGCAAGCAACTTAACACGAGCGAGCTCGAAGCGCAGTTCGCGCGTGTCTACGAGCTAGCCCAGCGCGGCCCGCCTATCGGTGCCCTGACCTCCGAGAACCGTGACGTCTGGGCGAACGCGCGCAAGGTGCTTCTGGGGGCCTCGCCCAAGAACCAGGCCGCGATCGAGGCCATCGAGTCGGCATCCTTCGTCGTGTGTCTCGATGAGGCCTCGCCCGTGACCCTCGAGGAGCGAGCACACGCGTACTGGCACGGCGACGGCAAGAACCGGTGGTACGACAAGCCGCTGCAGTTCATCGTAAACGAGAACGGCACGTCGGGCTTCCTGGGCGAGCACAGCATGATGGACGGCACGCCAACGCACCGGCTCAACGACTACGTCAACGACGTTATCTTCGGAAATAAGCTCGACTTCAGCAACCCGTCCGTGCGGTCCGACCTCCCCGAACCCACCCCGATCGAGTTCGTGCTCAGCAGGGCGGTGAAGAGCGAGATCGATCGTGCGATCACTCACTTCAACGCCGTCATCGGCCGGCACGAGCTTGCCGTCCAGGCCTACCAGGCGTACGGCAAGGGCCTGATCAAGAAGTTCCGGTGCTCGCCCGACGCCTACGTCCAGCTCGTCATCCAGCTGGCCTACCACAAGATGTACGGCAAGAACCGGCCGACGTACGAGTCGGCGGCGACACGGCGCTTCCAGCTGGGGCGCACCGAGACGTGCCGCACGGTGTCGGACGAGAGCGTCGCGTTCTGCGCGGCGATGGCGGACCCGGACGCGTCGGACGCCGACCGCACGGCCCTCTTCCGCAAGGCGGTCGACGCGCACATCGAGTACATCAGCGCCGCCTCCGACGGCAAGGGCGTCGACCGCCACCTCTTCGGCCTCAGGAAGCTGCTCGAGCCCGGCGAGGATGTACCCGACATCTACACCGACCCGGCCTTTGGCTACAGCAGCTCCTGGTACCTGTCCACGAGCCAGCTGAGCTCCGAGTTCTTCAACGGCTACGGCTGGAGCCAGGTAATAGACGGCGGGTTCGGCATCGCCTACATGATCAACGAGAACAGGTTCGTTGTCTCTCTCTCTCTCTCTCTCTCTCTCTCTCTCTCTCTCTCTCTCTCTCTCTCTCTTCCTTCCCTTCTCGCGTCTCACACGTTTCCGTCCCCCTTCCTATCTACCCACGAAACTAGAGCAAGCTAACCCGACCCGCGACGCAGCCTCAACTTCAACATCGTGTCCAAGCACCTCGACAGCAAGAAGATGAGCTACTACCTCAACGAGGCCGCCAACGACCTGCGCGACCTGCTCCTGCCCACCCTAGAGCCGCCCAAGGCGAAGCTATAGAGCGTGCGCGTGCGCAACCCTCCCCCAAAAAGATAAAGAGGCGAGAAGGGAGGAATCGCGCGCCCTCATCCGCGCGGCGACCCCGAGACGTTGCCGCGAAGGGGCCGAGTCTTCCAGGCCAGGGGATACCTCTCGAGAAAGGAGCATGGAGCGAAGGTTGGGGGGCAGCAGTAGCAGTGCGCGCACTCACCCCGCTTGCCCCTTGTAGAATTCTAGGTTTAGACGGCGGGAGAGGGAACGCATCGGATCCGGTGTTGGCGGACGGGACGCGCATGTACGTATGTATGTGTATATATGTATAAATCGTCGATTCGGGGGCGTGGGGAGAGGAGGGGGGGGGACGGCGCGCGGCGTGCGCCCCGCCTGTCTACCGCGTCGTCGTCATCATCATCAACTAGAGACAGTTAGACGCAGGCAGCTTTCAGCTCTCCGGCCGTATGCATCTATATAGAGAGATGAACCCACGCGCTCCGGTTGTTCGGGCCGGTACGGCGTATGCATGTACGCACACTAGCCTCCTCGCTCCTCGAGCATATACCCTACCTACCCACCTACCTTACGCATCCAGACCGCCGGAGCCCCTCCGCCGCCGCTCCCGAAGGCAGCACGCACGGGCAGGCAACTCGGCTCCCCTCGGCGGCCTGCGGCAAGTGAACCGTGCCCACCTCAGATCTCTACAGGGCCGTCCGCACTGCGCCCGTCTCCGCAGGGCCTCCCCGGTCTTCCTACGCTGCGCTGCACGACACTGCGCTTTATCTCTTTCCGCACGTAGACTTTTATTGTGTTTCTTTTTCCCTTTTCTCCTGTACGTCCACAGGGACGGGCGCGGCGGTATCTACAGCGGCGGGGGCCGTCCGCGAGAAACGGGACGACGTATTTACATGGAGGGGAAAGCTCCTGCGGTGGCAGAGAGAGGGGAGGGGAGGGGAGGGGGGGGGGGGGGGGGGATATGGACTGCCTCGCTCGGTAGTGGTGTCGTGGTTTTTTCTTTCTTCTTCTTTCTTCCTCTTCGACACCTCCCCACCCACCCCGGCAATCTACCTCTACCTCTCGTTCTTCTTCTTACGACTAAATCTACGTACGTACGCGGCCATACATACTATACACTACTCGGATGGACGGCAGAGACAGGTCGTATGTGCGCGCGCGCGTACGTGTTTATACGTACTTCCGCCTCTCTTAACCAGCGTGCTCCACAATCTCGTTTACCATGGTTCCCTTCTCCACGTCGTAGTAGGAGCATATCTGGCCCGGGAGCGGTATCTCCTTGTAGTCGCCCTCGTCGTCGTCGTCGGCAGAGCGGGCGATGACGTTGACGTTGATGCCGGCGGACTTGCTCGAAAAGATGCGTGTCGAGACGCTCTCGGGGCTGAGGTAGATTTGCGCGCCGTCGAGCTGGTCGAGCAGTACGGTCGGTAGGTTGCCGAGGACTTGTAGCGCGAAATTGCTCGACTTGACCACGTCGACCGTAGACACGAGCGAGTCGACCACGAGCGACAGGCGCTGCGTATTCTCGACCGTTACCGCGTTGGCCTTGCCCTTAACGATGATGGTCGTCTGGTTGCACCGGCTTATCAGGATGGAGTGTGTCATCTCGGCCTCGATTTCAATCGGCTCGGCGTGCTTTTCGAAGTTTTCCTACCCGGGTTCATCGTTAGCCTGCTGGGTCCTCGCCGAGAAAACGAATGCGAGACGGCTGCTTGTACTTACGATCGTCCACTTGTTGCCATCAAGCTCCTTCTTCGGGGGCTTCTTAACCCTCATACTCTCGGGCTTGGGCTTCTTGCCGGGCGCAGGGCTCTTCCCTCGGGCAGAAGAATCGGAAACGGTGGACCCGGCCCTTAACGCCGGGTTTTTGTGTGTCATCTCCGACCTGTCGACCTTGCGCAGGCTCTGTGTCACGCTCTCGCCCTTGTTCAGTTCATTAAACACGGCGCCAAAGCCGCCATCGGCTTTGGACGACGCGGCTTGTTCCTTGATCTGAAGGACAGGAGGCGGACCTGGCGGAGGTGGCGGCGGTGGAGCGCCGCCGGCAGCGGATGGCGGAGGGGGCGGTGGCGCACCAACAGAGGGACCCGCAGCGGATTCGAGCGTCTTGGCGACCTCGGAGGCCGACTGTCCATGCGGATTCCAGGGGATGCCGCCGGGGAAGTACTGTTTGACGTATACGGTGAGGTCACGGAATACTTGGTAAAATGCCTGTACCCACTCAACCTGATCCGGCTCCCTACACTTGGGATTAGCATCGGCGGGGTTGTCCAGGACGGGTAACTAATGGGTATATACTTGTCCTTGTACTCCTGGAGCACCCGGTTTCCAAAGAACTGCGCAGACCCCAGAGACTCTCCGACGTGTGTGTACGGCTTGTTGTCTACGGTTACCCAAGCCAGGACCATGATGCCATCGGCTACAGCACTCAAGTGGGAGAAGACGGGAACGCCGCGGTTGGATTCCTTGATGTTGCCAACCGCTATGAGGGCCTCGTTGATGGGCTTCAGGAGCTCTTGGTAGACAACCATCTCGGACCCACTAATGTCAGGCTTCTTGGCCTGGGTGGATATGAGAAGGAACCGGCGCTGCTGTCGAAAGCCTTCGAGCACCTTGGAGGCCTGTTCTGCGATCAAACCGCCCAGCTTGTTGCTCGCCTTGACATATTTGTCGACCGCGTGGTGAATGAAGGCATCAAACTCTTCGATAGACTCGGGCAAGGGCTCTTGGGGTGCATGTTTCGGCGCTGGGGGCGGTGGAGCAGGGAGGTGGTGGTGCGGCGTCGGGCTAGAGGGTGTCGGGATCGTAGTGGACAGGGCGGGGACGGCTCGGGGCAGCTCTATTGTCGACGAGGCGATGTCCTCTAGGCGGGTGGTCGCAGTCTCGAGCCTGGCTTCGCGTTAGACCGCTCCATTCTGGGGGTTATGCTTGCCAGACAATCAATGGCTAGGGGCAGGGACCGGGCGAGTTCCGAGTTCCGAGTTCACCCACCGCTTTATCAAGGTAACTAGGTTATGTATGTTGTTCTGCGCCATGTTGGAAGTTGCAAATATGTGATTGGGTTCGTGTCTGAAATGATTGCTGCCAGAAGAGTACCCGGCCGAGCTGCTTCTATATGGGTGGCCCCGTTCAATTATGGGTTCTTCGGGACGCAAGCAGGGAGAAGAGAGGATGTGCCAAATATAGGCAGCAACTGGGTTTGAAACGGAGGACTAAGTAGCGATTGTGATAGATACAACGGCGGGTGTCTTCGAATACCTCGGAGGTGGGCAAGGAGACTGGAATCGGGATGAGGCTCGGTGTGATCAACAACGTTGACGATGATGCGGGCGTGTATGGTGGTGACGGTGGGCAGAGTGGAATTTCAGACTGGCGCCAAGCCTCCTGTACCCGACCTAGGAAGATTGGAGGGGAAGATACATGGACGAACCCGTTAGGCGCATGCATTTCCGATAGGAGGTTAGCAGGTTAGGCAGGCAGTATACATGTCTACCTTACCTACCTATCTCCTAAGGGGAGATATTTGAGGCTAATATGAGGTAGGGTGGGAGGTACATTATTGCTAAAAGCTCCCTGCCCTATAATCAGTGTGTAGGTACTTTGCATTTCCGCATTGGCCTTTCGGATAACGCCTTCTTACCTAAGGGGATCACGTGGAGTACAGCCACACGGAACGCGGAACACGGAACACGGGGATGCAGGAGGTTGGCAAGTACATTAAGTACCTACCTGGGCACAACGCATCCTCAGGTGCCTGGCACGCCCCAAGGCCGTCCCAAATGGTGCCAACTCGATCGCCCGTGGGTGCAACGCCGATTGGTTCCCAGCAGCTTCCAACTCCCGTAGCGTAACCCCCTATAGGGTAACGGTACCTTATCTTGGGTTTGGAAGGGCTGCCGAGAACTGCTGCAACATACGTTCGAATGCGCCCCTGGGTGCCTAACCAGCGATGGGTATGTGTAGAGGTACGCATATTAGGTAGGGACCTACGGTAGGTCCCTACCTAGGTACCTCCTGTAGGTTAGCTACGGGGACGCCTACCTAATCTAACCTACCTATAGTACCTAATATGGTGCCAGATAGGTACGTGGTACCTAGGTGCCTAACCTACTCATAAGTAACAGGTAGGCAGCAACCGCGTTGCCCTGCCTTTCGGTAAGTTGGAGAAGTACCCGGTAGGTATCGCTCTCGTCTCGTTCGGTGCGGCCAGGTGCCGAAGTGAGGCTGCGGGTTACAGCGTAGCACGTAACAGTCTGCCCCGGAAACCAATCAGCTGCTATTCAACATTATCCGTCATACCATGTAGCCTTCCACGGTTAGCTCCGACGCGACTTATCTCAGGCTGGCAGCCTCAAAAGACCACCGCTGCCGCGATCGCATAATTCTACTCCTCGATGCTTTTTTCCCGAAGGGCGGTCTGGCTCCAAGTTCCAACGCACAACCTCCCGGACCTTCCACACCCATTGTGCCGACATACGTGCTACGACATGATATGATACTCTACCCAACCTACCCGCAACGACCAGCTTACTCTTCACCACAGTCTGCAGAGGAGAGAGGCTGTGAGATCGCGAGACTATGGATGCACAGCGTGCCAAAAGCAAAACCGCCGACGATGCCACCGCTGAGATCGACTTCGTCACCTTGGGCATGTTTATCATTGGTATGGTTGATAACCGCCCTTCCTTCTCCTCCTCTCTTTCTCCTCCCTCTCTCCTTCCCCTTCCCCCCTCTTCCCCCCTCCCCCCCTTCTTTGTCCCTAGCTATCTTGCTCTCTCTGCCTGCGTTCTCTCTTCCTCTCTTTCTTTTCTTGCTACCCCCTTGACACCTCACCCTCTCGCCGACGTCTGCTTTCAGCCTCGGGTCCCCGTTGGTTCATTCACGACCCCTCCCTGTCGTTCCTCCCCCCCTCGTAATTGTGAATGTCAAGCCATGTCATTGTAGTGCTCTGTCGGGTCCGGGGCCTTTGTCGGATGACAACGTCTTGGCCCAGCTGGCTTCCCATACACAATTATTGATCTGAACCTGGCACTAACAGTCTCACCACGTTTGATTTGGAAGTCCTGGGTGTCCCTGAACGTTTATGATTCATCCAAATACCCTAACCAACAGATGCCTGTTTGACCAACGCGCCTTAGAGCTCGAGAGATCCAACCAAAATTGCTAGCACCAGATGGTGGCCTTTGACTAACACGGAGGACCTTAAGATGACATTGACTACATGCCGCCAAAACCGCCAGTAAGGGATATCTTAGGCGGCGCCGGCGCCTACTCCGCTCTTGGCGCCCGGTTATTCTCCCCCCCGCCGCTCTCGACCACCGTGGGGTGGATCGTCGACAAGGGCTCGGACTTTCCGCCCGCCATCGAGGAGCTCGTCTCCACGTGGGAGACCTCGGTGCTACTCCGCCTCACGCCCGAACGGCTCACAACGCGTGGCTGGAACGGCTACGACGAGCACCAGAACCGCGCCTTCCGCTATACCACTCCCAAGAAGCGGCTCACCGCCGAGGACCTATCACCGACACTGTTAACCTCGCGGTCGTTCCATCTCATCTGCTCGCCTACGCGATGTAGAGAGCTCGTAACCGAAATTAAAGCTCGGCGGAGCGGGCTCCTGAATCCCGACGGCACCCATCTACCTAGGCCCATCTTCATCTGGGAGCCTGTGCCGGACCTATGCACTCCCGACGAACTGTTAAACTGTACCAACGTGCTCCCCATCATCGACGTCATCAGCCCCAACCATTCCGAACTAGCAGGGTTCATGGGAGACTCCGGTTTGGATCCAGACACCGGCGAGATCAGCACGAAAGCAATCGAGCGCGCATGCGAACAACTCCTTGGTTCCATGCCCCTGCAGTCGTTCTCCATCGTCGTACGGGCGGGCGAAAAGGGGTGCTATCTGGCGCGCAACGGCGGGCGCAAGCGAAAAGTGCACCCGAGCGCGCGACGCAAGAAGCCATCAGCTTTTCTACACGGCGGCCTGCAACCGGACACCGATATGGAGGCGCTATTCGCCGGTCTGCTCCAAGACCCCGAGGGCATGGTAGCTAGGGAGGAGATTGAGGTCGATCCGGGCGTCGAGCGCTGGGTTCCCGCCTACCACACAGACGCCGCCAAGGTCGTCGACCCAACCGGGGGTGGGAACACATTCCTAGGGGGTCTAGGCGTTGCGCTGGCAAGGGGCAAGGGCCTGGAGGAGGCGGCAGCCTGGGGCACCATCGCGGCCAGCTTTGCCATCGAGCAAGTCGGCACGCCGACTCTGGCGAGAGACGAGAAGGGCAGGGAGATGTGGAACGGGGTCAGCGTGGACGAGAGGTTCGAAGAGTTCAAGACTCGCTTGGCGTTCAATTAGAGGAGCAGGCGGAGGACTGGAGGGGGGCTTGCTGTTGTTGTTGCCATCTATAGAATCATCTTGGGGCGAGGTAGACAAAGACGAGACGAGACCCAGACGTGAGTTGGCGTAGAAGAGCAAGAAGCGCGGGGCGGTAGTAGGCGGGGGCGGGGGCGGAACAAGCACACGTGGCGCAGACAATAATAGAAGAGGAGCCGGGCCCGTCGGGGTCCCGGGCCCGGGTTTTGGCGCCGGAGGAGTCGTTTGGGTGGCCACCACGGCTTTTGGCGTAGAGCAGAATAGACAAACAAGCCAAGCAGTGCGTTTTCGACCTTTTCTTGGGGGGAAAGGGGGGGGGGTGGGGGCGAGGCATACCGCATAGAGCGATCGGCGTGCGATACAGCCGCCGTGGCGTAGCAAGCTAGTGCCGAGGGCGCACGCGCCGCCGCGAAGCCGGCGACGTGTCGACTCGCGGTAAGTGGACGGCGCACGCGCGCGGCTTGCCACGAGTCGACACGTCCCGCGTGGGCGTCTACTTTCCTCAGACGCCCCGCCTAGATGTGTCCGCTCGGCGGTCCGGACGGCCGGCTGAACGGGCGGACGGACGGACGGACGGATGGAAGGAAGGAAGGAAGAGGGCGTGGGAAAGACCTGCTCCGCCGAGCCGCGCCGCGCCCGCGATCTCGCAGGGGGGGGGTGGTGGGGGGTCGCGTGCCGGTGTCCGCGCTGCGCGGGCACAACCAGCGCGAGGCGGCGCCGCGGCAACGAAAACAACGCGGGCGGACTGGTCGAGTTCCCCTGCCCGCAGGATACGCGCAAGGAAAAGCGGCGGGGACGCGTGCCCCCCGATGGGTTTGCGAAGCCAAGCCCTCCCCACGCACCGGGGAAAAAAAAAGGAGAGGAAAAGGGGGAGGGGAGGGGGGCGACCTACGTGTATCGAGTGAAAATCGGTTTCATTAATACGCATACTATGCCATTTTGCTACATCTATTACGCCTCCCCCCCAAACCAAAACGCGGATAGTTAGTTAGAGCCAGCGTATGTGTTCGTCATCATCCATTTCCCTCTACCTCTCTCGTACGTCCCGGGCCCGCCGTCGCTGTCTGCCCTCCTGCCTCCGCACGTTATATCGTAGGCTAACTTGGTCACGGCATTCGAAAATTACGCTTAGTGATGTAGAGAAACCCGGCCCGGACCCGTCCCCCGCTGTCCGTCCCCTTCCTCAAGCTAAGGCGGCCGCAACTCACCCGGGAATGCCGTGGTCTTTACTTACACAGCGAATGCTCTACTGGCCTAACCGTTGAGGTAGCTTCGGATGGCGCCTTGGAGCCTACTGGCGCCCTCGCCTAGCACGCTGGTCAGATTGTCGAGGTCGTCGCCGGCGGTGATTCCGAACTTTCGGATGAAGTCTTTGGCCGCGGACTCGAGGTCGCCGTAGTCGTCCGCGGCCTCCTCGTCCTCGGGCCGGCCGAAGTAGGCGTTGGACGAGATGGCGGTGGCGCCCTCGAATCCTTGAAGACGCGTCTTCGCCTCAGCTTGGGCATTGGGGTCGAATGAGCCCTTCCCGAAGAACTCGTCCGACGAGATTCCCTTCTGGTTGCCAAACTTGTTTCGCGCGTAACGCTCCTCATCCTCTGCCAGACGTGTTAGTCGAACTATACCTAAAACAGGTTCCGGGCATTCATACCGTCAGAGGTTGCCTTAACTGGGCCGACCGACCCAAAACCACCAGCATTCTTTTTGGGCGCGGCGCTAGCGGCAGCTTTGCCGCCGCCAACTTGCCCAAACCCTAATCTTCCGAGACCCATACCCAGCCGTTCGATTTCGGCGGCAGACTTTTCACGAACGTGCCCGGATCCGTACCCGCGCGGGTTCACGGGGGTTGGAGAAACGACGTTGGTAGCCTCGGCCTTGGATGAAGCAGCCTGCTTAGACTCTGCCTCCTCAGCCTCGGGATCGTAACCCAGCTTCTCGATCCTTTCAGCTTCCTCCTTAGCCTTCTTCTCAGCCTCGTCGAAGTCGATGACATCCCCAGTAACCTTCTTCACGCCAAGTTTGGTAGCCTTCTTTGCGCCGAGGACATTGGCCTTACGAGGCCCCGACGGGTTGGTCTTACGTAGCGCTGCCGAGGTGGTGATGCGGCTAGCAGCCGGTTTCGCCTCGGCCGCAGTCTTGGACAGAGGCGACGAAGATCTCGAGATCTCCTTGCCGTTGGCGCCGGCGTTCAGAAACGGAGAGGCAGTTCGACCGACGACAGGTGGCGTGCCGGTTCGTGAGATGGGAGGCGTCGGCCTCTTGATCGATGGCTTATCCCACGAAGAGAAGAAATCATCGTTAGGTTCGCTCGAAGGGGTTCCGGACGCTTCGGTATTATCGCCAGCTACATCCGTGACAACAACCTCATCCGGGTACCTAGCCGAAATAAGTAAGGTCGCAGTACGGATGCGAACGGGGAAATGTGCTCACTCGAGGGCGTCTCTGGCAGCTCGCTTCTTGAGTTCCTCTTTGTACTTGGTCGCGGCGCTCGACTGGTATTTGGTCTTGGGGTCCTTGCTGGCCAGCGCGGCACTGCCCCCGTTCGCGCGAAAGAACTTGGTGGCGGACTCATTGCCACCGACTTTCATGACGCGGAGCTGATCCCATTGCCACTCTACGCGTGCCGTTAGTAGGGATATAATAACGGGAAGCGTGGCTTTAGAGGGGGGTAGGCAGGCTGAGGCGGCGTACGGTCAAGGTTGGTGGAGCGGACAAAGGAGATGTGTACACCGAGATTTCGGTGATTCGAGGAACAGTCGAGACATAGGTAGATGCCAAAAGGCACCGAGGTCCACGTAGGGTTATTCTGGCCGCAGTCGAAGCATATCTACTCGGGCGCACACGGCGTTAGCAGGCACTGGAGCGGTAACGGTAGGTCGCAAATGCAGATGGCCGACCACCACGCACCCTATTCGCAGTCTTGGTCTTCAACTTCTCGAAGATCTTCTGCGATTGCTGCTTGGTCGCAAGCGCACTCATGTTGCTGGCGCGGTCCGATGCAGGAGCGGCTGAACAGGAAGAAGCGACAAGAGGGAGTCGACGTGTGCGGGAGAGCGAGAGGCAGTCGGCGAGGGAGAGAATGGTTAGGGTGCCGGAGCAGAAGGCTGGAGCAGAAAGCCGGTCGACGAGGAAGCCGGGAATTCAGGGAGCAGGTTGGTAGGAGGTTTCGGTGACAGGCGATTTGGCCAAAATGCAAAAATGGCATTATCTGGTCCACAAAGGGCAAAAGGGGGCCCACGCCGGGAGTCCATCGCGGCCCACTCTGGCCTGGCGCTGGGCCACATTACTCGCCCGACGATCCAGCCTAATCCCGGATTGGTTACGCTGCTATATCTATACATGGAGGTATACATGGGGTGTACTACGTGGCAGAGGTCGCGCTCAGGTACCTAGTACGGTATTTAGTGCCGGGGGTCCCCCTCGCCGCCGACGATGCAGCATGTACATATACGCATCCCGCTGCGTTTCCGCCAGGTCAGGCTAGACTGCGTTATGTACCTTCAGGTACCTACTCACCTAAGCGCCATGTACACAATCCCATCAGTGGCGGCCCCAGCTTTCCGAATTCCCCCTATACCTGCATATCTAACAGGTATACATGCATACCTTACTTAAGGTGCCTCAACTGCCGCCCCCAGGACGTACCTGTTACCTCTTCTAAATATAGCATCCGCTATGTCGTCTGCACAGCTGAAAAAGTACCTACTACATTAGCTGTTCACCTAAACGGATAAGTTCAATTCAACCATTGCAACATGCGAAAGCTTCAGCGGACGACTTCCGTTCGCATTGCCTACATACCGACCTATTTTATCTGAACATTTCTCAACTTCGGTAGAGGGCTTACCAGAACCCCGTTCGCACTCTCGCCGTCTCTTTCGAAGTACACTGCCTTGTCGTCCTCGGTCTGCCACTGACGCATTCTCGGTCCCAATGGGCTTGGTGCCGCCGTGATGAAGCTGGTACTCCGGCCGTTTAGCCCTATCGCTCTCGCTCCGCGACTGCAGCCCGTTCTCGTTGCCCGCCAGGGCTATGCCACCCATCACAGCCTAGGGACCGGCCCGAGCGCCTCGCGGCGGAAGGCCGTCACCCCGTTCAATGACAATGGCCATGTACCGTGGAGCGAGCTTTCCGTCGTCGAGAAGGCGTCGCGTGCCACCCAGCAGACCTTCAATTTCGGTCTTGTCGCGGTGGGCTTGGTCTTGACGGTACGGCTTCCCCCTTCCCCTTCTTCGTCACCTTGTAGCTGTGTGCTGAAGTGGCGTTCCTTCGTCGGCTGGGTAGGGGGGCGTCGGCTACTTCCTCTTCCAAGACGTCTTCTCTCCCGAGAGCAAGACCGCCTACTTCAACCGCGCCGTTGATCGCATCAAGAAGCACCCGGACTGCGTCGCACTCCTGGGCCAGAGCAGTAAGATCTCAGCATATGGCGAGGAGACCTTCAACAAGTGGCGCCGTGCCCGCCCGATTGCGTATGACTACTCAGCCAACCGCCCTCGGCTTCCGCTAACAACACCAGATCGACACTGGAAACCGACCCTCGGGGGACCCAGCATCTGAGGATGCACTTCTATGTAGGTGCGAATTTGGTATATGGACATCGCGATGCCTCTAATGCTGCTTTAGGTCGAAGGGCCGCTGAACAAGGGCGTAGTCAATGTGCATCTAGTCAAAAACTCTGGCCACGACGAATTTGAATACAAGTACTTTTCCGTCGACATCAAGGACCATCCGAGAATCTACCTCGAAAATGCCAATTCTACTCCTAAGGAGGCCAAGAAATTCAAACTCTTTGGAGTTAACTGGAATTGATCAAACACTCAAAGTACCCACTTGATAACTTGATAAATGTGCCGATATGTAGCCCCCTATACAGCGCCGTGTAGGTGAGGTGCAGACTACCCGTGGTTATTCTCATACTAAGAGCCTTGATGGGAAGTAGGTGTAGGTTCGGCTACGTTCGAAGCCTATGTATAATAACGAGGGACTCGTGCGCTATTCGGTTAAATTGCTACAGTCCGCAGAAGTGTATACAAATCTTGGCTACGAAAGCATTCTTCTCATCAATCTTCAGTGTTTAACTCGGTAGACTTCACCTACTATTTTGCAAGTATTGCATATATATTGTAACGGTGCAGCAGAACTCGCCTTCGTAAGGTTTCTTACTTGTTATATAAGTGTGTGAGCTTGACACCTAATTCTTCGTGATCGTTACCACAAGAAGAATGACTAGCAACAATAGATATATACCACCCATACTAAGCGCAGATAATATCCTCAGAATATATATAGGCCCTTACTCGGCCATCTAGGCATAGTCTGTAGTCTTCTGCTTGCTGGGTATATATAAATATTGAGCTAAAACGGAGAAATCGGTCCATCTAGGGCAGCCAAAAGAAACTGCCTGTAGTAACGCAGGACATCAGGGCTTTCACCCTTTCTCAGGGAAAAAATGGAAGAAGGATGGGGAAGGGAACAGAAACAACAATGATAGGAATGAACGGAGGTTAACTAAGGTGACTCGTATTAAAGAGAGAATAGCTTGGTTACTGAGTTGTGCCTTATTTATAAGCGTAACTCTATAATATATGTTCTTTGTTGATCATAGGCAAGCGACAATCAGTATATCCCCTCGTAACAGAACTTAGCCGTGGAAGATATTCAAGTGACTACTGTCTACGACCAGTACAGGAACCTACAGTCCTACGTGGCATATAATCAGGGCTTTCCCTGTCAATCAGCAGCTGGGTGATACATCTGAATACTGAGCTCTCATCTCATGTGGTGTATCTCGAGAATTTACATGAACTGCTTTTACGAATTAGTGCAACATGTGAGGTTGAGCAACTACTAGGTTGTCACTATAATCTGGGTATTGCCCTAACCTAGCATGCTAGCTAGAGTGCCTAGTTTTTAATCCACTTTATTCAACCAGAAGGTCCTCTAGTATAATACATTGCCTCCTCCAGCCTATGGTTGACTTGATGTTGATAACTATCTAAACACCAATTCCCTCGATAGCTACGGCTAAGGTCTTCGGTATGATATGTTACAGACAATGCCCTTACTCTCGTAATGCCAGCTGTCTTCGCGAATCGTACTAGGCTACTAAATGACCCATACAACGCCCTAAACAACTACTGCCAAACCCTAATGTTAATAAATTGAAGTTGTATCTGCTATAGTCAAATGTTGTTGACTGTGACTCTCTTGGAGAATCTTCTATAAAGCAACACCGTACTTGAACCTGAAGGATCGTTGAAGCTCTACCACGAGAGGAGACCTTGAAATGACTAACGAAAATAAGTTAGAACCGCAGATTTCTTTTTAAACGTGTACATATCTCTCCTAGAGTACTCGAGGCCTTGACTATTGCGTTATTTGCTAATCACAACTCTACATTCAGATCTTGAAGGCGGCATACTAAAATTAACCAGACCTTTGGCAACGCTGTACCCTTTCCGTCTCATGAGTCTCCATCAGAATATCTGATATGCCCCCTTATAATACGCCTACGTAAACCACTACAACAATTACTACAGGTAGATGAAGAAAGAATGGAACGTTGAAGACGCGGTATAAGCAATGTATAGTAACGCTTTTGTTAGAATTTATACATGGCAGAGGCATGGGACAAGCATATTACTCGGATCTGTAGGTATCCATTCTCAGGCCTCTCTAGAAACTAATTACCGCGTAGAGAGCTATAGAAGGTTTCGTTATCTATATTTTATCGGGATACTTGGTGACAGGTATGTTGGCACATCGTCCTATAGTTTCCTTATCATAACCATGTCCTCTCATATTGATGGGCTATATTGGGCCCTCAGTTTTAAACTCTTTTTGAACCCCGGCCCCATTACGTTCCGCGCGCTGAACGGTATGGCCTACGTGTTGATGAGTTATGTAAAGCGCCAAGGAGCTGACCCGAGTGACGAGTAACCGGGGGGGTAACCTGTCTATATACCTGCCACGCATGGCCGCGCGCTCCCGTACCAGAGGTATTGCCGGCTGTCCCTAGAGAAGGCGGAAACTATCTAGCAGCAACTGGACCCGAGAACCTGAGTATCACAGCAGTTCTTAGGCTCTCGTCTTGGGAAACCCTAGGGGGGTGCGTCGTCAAGGCGCGAGCTTTAGAAGAGATCGCGGCTGGATATCAAACCCACCCCCCTCCCCCCCACAGCTCTCGGAAGATCTACAAGTCGGTGAATTTGCAGAGCTGAACTTTTTCACAGACCTGTAGACGATCAGCGGTGGCGTTGGACGCAGAATCCCTGGCCCAGTGAAAACCTCGAATTATAAAACACTGTGTCACAAGAACTAAGAGACCGGCCTTACGGAGACACCATTCATTGTCAGCGGAGCGAGTTCCGGTTTAATTGGTGACGTGTAAGGTTCTTTTTACAAACCGGGGGTGATGGGACTACGCGTCGCTGGTTTTATCTCGGAATCGACTCTGCATCCTCCTCACCGTTCCTCCTTCTCCATATAGCTAGATGGAATCAACACATTACGTATCGTATGTACCCCTTCGTTGGGGATGGGTGTTTATTATTCCCCTACCCGGGGTCTCGCTATTAGCAACTCTCTGCGGGATTCCTGGCGTCTTAGAAAGGATCCGAGTGAGGGAGAACAGGTCTTCGTGTATCCTCTGGATGTATCGATATACGCACCTAACATATTCTACCGACAACTTGCCGCCCCTGTCCGAGGGATGCAGATGGGGCGTGACCCTAAAACAGATTTCTTCCCTAACGCTATTATTCGAAATGCTACCGGACTGGGCATCATCTATCTATCTAGCCGAGCGGCTGGGGGACGAGTCTGTCTACATCACGACGCCGCCTGGAATCCCGCGGACGTATGCAGCGCGTCTGCTCCTGGCCGAAACTAGACCTTCAGGGCCCGGGTCGAAAACTAATGCACGGCGAAGCCCAAATCCCAAACGTGCCTCTTCCCGGTCTTCGCTCCCGCGTAATCTGGTTGGGCCGCTTTGAAGCGGGGTGGGCGAGTCGGGATTTCCCCCAGAACCCGAGGTGGCTACTAAAGGGTTACCGGGTCTGGATATTCGAGCAAAAGTACACTGTGCCACCTAGTCATGCTCCCGGTGAGGTATCTAGACCGGGGGGGGGGGGGGGGGGGGGGCTTGCTAATGGAAAAGGGTTCCACTCAGCAATCAAGCCTCCTCACCATGTTTGCCGTCCCAATGGGTGCCCTTGGCATGAGCTTTGGGCGTCGATGACGACTTAGGCCCTGGGCGTATGGGAACGTGGACTTCGAACCTCTCAGCGGCGGGTAGAAACGCTGCCAACAAAATAACCATCCCAGACGGCGGATCCCCGGGATTCGCCCAGAGGTGGTGGTGTAGCACAGCGATTTCGTTTCGTTTCGTCATGCCCGATGGCGTCGTGGTACTTGAGAACCGATCTGACTTCTACCGGGCTTCTCAAGCCTCCCCTCTCCGAGGCTGCGACGCGGTAGTACCCATTCGTTTCAAACCGTTTCAATTGTGATGATATATCGGTCCTTCCAGGACATTGAGCTCGATTACCCGCCGGCTAGCGAAGCTCTAGGCTTCTGTGCCTGATCCCAACTCACCAGACCCAATTCGCTTGCTGTTTGCTCGGCCGTAAGCTGTGGACAAACTGAGCCGTAGTCTGAGCCGGGAGAAGTGCGAGGAGTCAGGCCGCGACATGTTCTCTTGATCTAGGCCTCGATAGGCCGTTCCTAGGGGGCACAGAACTGCCCAGTGCCGTTGATGCTACAGGGTTTACGTGGCCTAGAGCATGGCTTTCTCGTCGAGACTTGCCCCCAATTTCTCACTGATTTTAACCGTTTCCCGACATATCGCCTTATGACCAGCCATGAAATGGCGATGGGGTTAGAGAATCATGCCATGATCTACGCGGGAACGTGAACTTGGCGTGCCTCAACTAAAGCGGAAGGAAATAATACTATTGTCTGGCTGTCCAGATGACAGGCGGAAGAGGCTGGCGCCGGGAGTCAGTGGGTCTGCTTAGGAGACATTGCGGCCGTCATGCTTGACTAGCCTTTCAAGGATAATAATCGCCAGTTACCAGCTACCTCCTCTTATCGCTATTTATAGTAGCATGCCTTTTCTAGCTTCGTATCGCAGCTAAGGTAGTGACCGAACACATCTTGATATCTGTATGTATGTGCAAGTAATAGAGTATTATCCCTGGTGTGGTCGTAAACCGGCGCGGCCTGTGGTTGAGTTCGAGCACAATCTGGGCGTTTGCGTGGTATTAATAGCGAGCTTAGAATGCCAGAATGGCGATGCGCTTATAACTACCTGTCCAGGGTTATGTGGGTACCATCTTGAGATGCTATGACCTTCGCAGTACCCGCCAGTGGTAAGTATTGTGATAAGCGGATATAATATTAAGGCCTGAAAATCGGGTTATACGAACGGGGATATATTTATACATACCTAGAGGGAATAGCTAGGTGATGCCGAGCAGAGTAACGATTGGGAGAGGTTCTTCGAGATGAGTACAGAGGGACGGAGTTGCGGCCTTAATGTGTCAACCAGGAGAAATTCATCTCTTCAGTAAGAAAACAACTATTGATCCGCTGCTTCTAGTTGCCTTGTTGGCACAGGGGTCCGCATAAAAAAATTATCTGCGAGTCTTAGGGGCGAATCGTGAATCACTGCTGGTCACCGCGATACAAGGATAGGTAGTTAGAAATTAACCCTAGGCTAAGCAACAGGAACTTGGATAGACTATATTTCTGGTATATTGTTAACTATGTCCTCCGAGAGCTACTTATGATTGGAGGACACTGGAGGTTGATCATCGATATGTCTCAAATAATGCGTCGACCTAGATAATATGTTAATAGCGACACACGCCGGGTATGAACTCGCTAACCGGGGTGCGTCGCTGCTTGGTATAGTGGCCGAAGAGTGAAGATTAAAATCACTCCATAGGGTGTTGTGGTGCAAGCACTGTCACTGGGTTAAAATGCCTCAACACGCGGACCGGCCAGGTGTGTAAATAGACCCCATGCTATCCTCGGATCAGACGACCCACAAATATTACTGTGTTGGTGGAAGAATACGATGGCGACTACAGGGAGCCTTGGACACCGAGCCTAGCTGTCCTTTGATAGACGGTTACTGTGCTGGCTGCTTCTCTGCATACCCCCCATGAATCCAAGCCCTTCCACTCTGATCTTATCCTAAACAGTGGG